GAAGAATACGAGAAGCGGGGAGTTGGTTGGAGGGGCGCTAGGGGGCGGAGTACAACTAGGGGAGATTATGAAGGGGGGGCATTACGACAAAAGGGCGGGAAAGGTGGCGGGCGAGGGGCAGCCGGGATTTCACGGCCCCCACTGGAACACATATACACAGACATATATACAGACATACATATACACAGACGGACCGTCCCCGCATCCGGCACTCCATAACGGGCCCCCCCCCCACGCACATACATACACATAGACACAGCTCACCCCGCTCTGGTCCATGTTCTGGAGCCATTCGCCCTCCGCCCGTACCAGCCACTCTCGCTCCGGAACCACGCCGGCGGAAAGGCGCGACGCGCCGTACAACAGCGTCGCAAGCTCACTCACGCGCATGTACGGCATGCCGTACCAACACCTCTCCATGAATGCGTTCCACCAGGCGGGTTCGGGTTTCAGAGCGAGGCGGTGGAGGGACCAGGCGATGCTGCTCAGCGCCTGAAAGCAACCGGAACGGGTGGGAGGGGGGGAGGGGGGGACCATTTGCAAGAAGTAAAAAAGAGTATCAATACAAAGAAAGGGGGACGGGCGGAATTATGATAATTGTTATTATTAACTAAAATTATTATTATTGTTGCTGTTGTTGCATGTCGCACTAATTTTAACTGAAATAACTGCCGAAATCCACCGGGGGGGGTTAGAGGGGAAAACAGGAAGAGGGTTGGGAAAACGGCGAAGGACAGGACAGAGCGGCGCTTTAATGAGCTGTAGGCAGTTACATAAATGGACCACATGTGCTATGTGCAATAACGGTACAAAAATGGAGGCTCATATTCTCGGATAGGCACCCCAGCACGAATTGTACGATGTTCCTGGCTTCCCCGCTTCCCCCGGGTCCCGGGCCGTTTTCCGTTACCTGTGGGGAGCACCTCGACAGGTCCCGCCCGCACGCCTCCATCATTGCCGCCGCCAGGTCGGAGGGCAGCTCCATCCTTAGCTCCGCAGCCGCGTGCAGGATGTTGGTGAGGGCCTGCAGGGGCCGGGGGGGGGGAGGGGGCGGTAGGGGGAAGGGGAGGTAGGGGGGGGGAGTGCACGATTAAGGGGGGCCCCGAGAGAAAGAGAGAGCGCGAGGTGGGGTAACTCGAGCACGAAACACACACGCACCCACACACGAGGTGGAGGACGGTGTGTGTCTGTGTGTGTGTGTGCCTCTTCCGGACCCGAGATACCCCGAGAGAACGAAACGGAACGGTAATACCCACCACGTGTAGGCGAACACATACATACATACTTCGAATCCCGTTTCCGTTGGTGGTGTTTTGGGGGGTTGTTTCAGAGAGCCTTTGACTTTGCCCTAGCTGAGACTTGTGGACTCGCTCTAGCGGGACCTGAGAGCCCTTCGTGGTGTATTCAATGCAGCGCCACCCCCGGATGGGGGGGCTGCGGAGTGGCTGCGTAGAGTGTTGGCAGTCTGAGTCGGGGTCGGGGGCACACAAGACTAACCGACTTGTGCTGTGTGCTCCCGACCCTTGCGCTGTGTTTCGGCTTCGGCCCCCGGCTCTCGCAGCCCACAGTGTAATCTAAGTCATACATACATACATACATACATACATACATACATACATACATACATACATACATACATACATACATACATACATACATACATACATACATACATACATACATACATACATACATACATACATACATACATACATACATACATACATACATACATACATACATACATACATACGCGCATGGGTCTCACCATCGGGTCATGCCGCCCCGCTCCCCTCCAGGCGCCGCCCGCCGACCTCCCCCACTCCCCCACCCGGCCCCACCCGGCCTGAGCCGGCTGCCCCCCGTCCTGCTGCTGCTGCTGCTGTCCCTCCTTCAGCCTGATGGCCAGCTGCCCCCAGTACTTCCGCATGAAGGTGGTCCAGGGGGGCCGGTGGCCCAGCTCCGCCAGGCCGTACAAGGCAGTGGCCAGCTGGCGCAAGTCCAGGGAGGGAAGTCGCCGATAGAGCTCCGGCAGCATGACCTTGGACAGCCAACGGTGGTAGGCGGCCTGGGGGGGGGGAGGGGGCAGATTGGGAATACGGACCTTACATCTCACTTATTTGGAACGTGATCACATTATTATTCGGATCCAGATTCGCAGCGTCATTGCCGAAACGGAGGGGCGCGTCAGCGCTGCAGCAGCTGCAGTAACAGCGCCGTGGGGCTTACGTCATCCGACGGGAGGTTGGTCGTCGGCGATGTTAGGGGCTGACGGCGGCCTTTGATGCGCGGGGGGCGGGGGGCCTGTGTGCCACACATACCCCTTACACCCAACCCCCCCAGCTGCCCGCCGTACCTCGGGGGTTTCCGCCGCGGTTGTGAGTTTGGCCAGCCCCCACATGTACAGCACGATGCCCTGGCCGCTGAACACGTGGAGGTGTGCCGTACCGTAGCTGAAGGGGGCGGGGGAGGAGGGGGCCCACCGCCGCAGCCCGGATATGTGTGTATGTGTGATGACGGGGGAGGGGCGACACGGAAGGGGGGGAAAGACTTGGGAAATGCACGGGTAGGGCAAGAGGCGATGTAGAAAACGGGGGAAAAGGGGGCCCAGGACACGCACATAACGTGTTTGATTTGGTGGTTTGGTGACGCAGCTGTTCACCACTACATCTACTACTAAAGGGGATTCACGGCGAGGTAGGGGGGTTGATGTCGGAGCGGCGGAAAGGCGGGAGCAGCGGCCACCCCCCCCCCCGGTGTGTTGGTGTGTGTGTGTTGGGGGGGGGCATGTAACGTAATACGATATAATGGAGGGGGCCAGCCGCAGGGACAAGGACAGGTACTGTTTTCCACCTCTCCGAATTCCCCTCACCCCCCTCCTCACCTCCGCAGTCCCTCCATCAGAGATTCCGGCAGCTTCATTCCCAACTTAGCCGCACCCTGCACCCCCACCCCCATCCCCACCCGGGTGGGAGAGCAGGGGGAAAGATGGGGGAGAGAGGGGGTTCATGGACGAGGAAGTGAAAGCGGACGGCCGTGTGTGTAAGTGTGTGTGTATTGACGCATGCATGCATTCATGGCCCCCTGCCTCCGCCAAGGGACGACCTTGCTGAACACGTCGACCACATACATACATATATACATGCATACATACATACGGCCACCTCCCACTGCTAATACACAGAGACATGCGCGTACTCAACGCGTACACACACACACACACGCACCTGCACGTAGTTAGCCACCCCCTGGCTGCTGAACAGGTGCAGTCTCCTTGCAGTGGCGGAGAACAGGGCTCGCTGCCAGGACAGCGGGGGGCGCTGTCGTAGTCGACCTGCGGGGGAAGGGGGGGGGGCACGTGTATACGTGATGTGCGAGTGTGACTGCATGTGCGTGTGTTTGTGTGCGTGCGTATGTCTATATGTGGGCCAAGAAGGGTCACGAGAAGAAGTGACAAAGCTCGAAGGGGGGCCGTGCAGAAACGTGTCCTTCGGGGGGCGTGCGTGTAAGTCTGTGTGTGTGGGGGGGGTGGGGGTGAGACGTCGACACCACGAAACCCAAGCGGGCTGGGGAGGGAGAGTAAGGCCGCTCAGCACTGGTGGATGGGCAGCAGACGGGGACGGGACGCTGACCACATCCGTTTCAACCTCTCTCCCCCCCCAGGGGGATCTGAGGTATTGGCTCTGAGGGCCGAGCGGGCCCCCGAGGGACCTGAAAGGGGGAGTCCCAACCCTGCTCCTCCTTCAACCTTTGTGTCCCTCCCTCCCTCTCCTCCCCCCCAGTCCCCCTCCCCCTTCCTCTCCCCCCCCCCTACCTAGCCCCCACACAATGTTGGCCAGGGCCTGCGTGGTGTAGTCGCCCAGTCTGTCCCGGGTGCACAGGAACAGCCCCTCCCACCAGCCCCGGCCCGCCCAGCTGGCGGAGTGGGGCAGCAGACTGGCCAGGGACCAAATAAGGTTGGAGATAGCCTGCGGGGGGGGGGTAGGGGTGAGGGGTAGGGGGTAGGGGTAGGGGGTAGGGGAAACCAGTCTAGCAAGGAGGGGGACGGGAATCATATGATGATGATGATGATGATGATGATGATGGTGATGATGATGATGATGATGATGATGATGATGATGGTGATGATGATGATGATGATGATGATGATGATGATGATGATGATGAAAAACGAAAACCAACAACTGCGGACGTCTGAGGTCCAAAACGTCTTTGGGAAGTGTAGTAGCTGGTGCACAGTACGGCTCTACAAATACGCGCGAAGCGCGACCACCACCAGCCTCTCGAGAGGCCTTTTCAGCGGCCAGCTGCTACAGGATGGCTGGAAAGGCGGAGATTGAATGATGGGTAGGAGCTGGGGTTCAATTTCCTCAGATCCTAAAATTAGAAAAACAGTTCGAAAATTTGGAAAATGGGTCATTTACAACACTCCTTACACACACAGACCCGCCTGCGAATGGAGCAGCTCCATGTTCTGTCCCGCCACATATACCAGGTCCGCCAGCACCTCGTGACGGTACGACAATCTGCCGTACACGTACAGCAGCGTTACGACACCCTCCGGGTCCATGTCCAGGATGCGAGCCTGCACCAGGTAGCCCAAGCGGGCCGCCAGCTGCCGGGCCAGTTGCTGCTGGCGCGGGCGTGGTGGGGGAGTCCTTGAAGCCGCGAAGGGAGGAGGACCGCCGAGATCACCACCACCACCATCACCCGCCGCCGCCGCCACCGCACCCTCCACCGCCGCCGACGGCGACGACTGCGCCATCCGGCGCTGGTACTGCTGCTGCTGCTGCTCCGGGTGGTTCTCTCCGAGCCGTCTTCCTGAAGTCCCCCGCTGGCCCCCCTGTCCCCCGGTTCGAATGGGAGCATCCAACTCCACCTCCATCTTCATTACTGCCGCCCCGACTGGCCCCCTCCCCGACCCCGACCCCGACCCCGCCTCCAACTCCACCTCCCCCAACTGCAACTGCAACTCCACATCCAACATCACCGCCTCCTCCACCTCCTCCACCAACTCCAACTCCTCCACACTCGGCTCCCCTTCCGGCCCCTCCTGGCCGCCGGGTCGCCGCCCCGCCGGCGCCGCCAGCTGCGCCAGGCGGGCCGCAAATGCCGTAATGTTGATCGCGTTGAAGAGGTCCCCGTGGACCTCCAGCACCTCGCGCAGCTGCTCCAGGGTGGCCGCCTGACGGATGTTGACCGTTAGCTCCACAGCACGTGCCTCCGTAAGGCCCTGGTGTGGGCGGTTACGGTTGGTAGTTGGGGTCATTTCGGTAGCAGCTGGCCTGGCAACCAGTTCTTACCGGGGAAGGGATAAAGAGGCATGAGAGGGAGGAATGTACGGCGTATGGTGTACGGGAAGAGAGGTGCATGGAAGATTTTATTACTTCTAACATGGAATTATTCTGGGTTGGCTTGGCGGTGAACTACTGGTTAGATTGTTGGTTGGTATAAACACACCTCAGGCGCTGTCCCGTAGCGCTCGTCATGTACGACACGAAGGTGCACCTGCCGCGGCAGGCCACGCCTGCCCGGTCCCCGCCGCGGGTCCAGATCCAGATCCGGTTCCGACAGACGCAAAACTTCCTCTCGGCCAAATCCTGAATCCGTATCCGAATTCGGCCTCGTGAGTCCCGCTGCCTGCAGCGCTATTCCCGTCCCTGCCGCCGCCGCCGCTGGCACTCCTGCTGCTGCCGCCTGATCAGCCACTGCCCCTCCTCCTCCTCCTCCTCCTGCTGCTACAGCTCCACTCTCCACCGTCCTGCGAACCCCGGCTCCATCTCCATCTCCCGGGGTTGTTGCGGCCCCCAGGACGGCGGCTGCGGAGACCGCATCTGTCGCACCTCGGACTGAACCCCCCTCCCTGCCTCTGCCCACTCCCGTCCCTGTCTCCGAGCCCACTCGTGTCGGCACCTGCACCTGTGCCTGTGCCTGTGCAGCAGCGGCAGCGGCACCCTGCACGGCACCCTCCGCGCCCTGACCCTCCTCGTCCGGGCGCGGACTTAAACCTCCGGGCGGCGGCCGCGACACCAGGCCTTCGAGCAGCTTGTACTGCTGCCGTACCTGCTGCTGCAGAGCCGCCAGCTCGAGCTTCAGAGATTGGGCCTCCCGCTGCCGGTGCTGGTGGTGGTGCTGGTGGTGGTGCTGGTGGTGGTGCTGGTGGTGGTGGTGATGCGGCGCCTTTTGTTTCCCTTTCTGCTGCTTGTTGTTCTGTGTCTGGTTCCCCCCCATCAGCTGGTGCTGAGGATGGTTCCGCTGCGGGGGTGGTCGCGTGTGCTGCTGTGCGGCTGGACGAGCTGTCGTCGTCGGCTGTCGTTGTGATGCTGCTAAGGCGTCCTTAGCCTCGTCCTTACCCGCACCCCCAGCCTCGCCCCCTGGGCCCGGAGGCCGCTGTTGGGGCTTGGGCTGCAGCTGCAGCACAGGCCGTCGCTGAGCCGTCTGTAGCTGCTGCAAGCACGGCGCCGGCAGTAGCAACAGCTGCCCGTTGTCTTCTTGCTGCAGCTGGGCCACCGCCATCATCATTATACGATGTTCCTCCTCCTCTTCCTCGTGATGGAAATGATGGTGACCACATTTCGCCCCTCCCCGGTCAAGGGCTGGAGGGCGCGGCTGTGTAGGCTGGGGCCCGGTCGCCCCGGGGGGGCCTGACGCACCGCCATCTGGATCGCCTCTCCCCCGGCCGCCGACACCGCCCACTGCCCTGACTCCGTGGCCCTGCGCCCCGTCCTCGGTACCGGTAGAACCGGCCCCGCGGCGGCCCCCTCCACCTCCACCTCTACCCAATCCGGCACTGCTGCTGCCGCTGGTTGCTCCGTCCCAGCTCCGGCCGCTTGTTGAGGCCCGGCTGTTGCTGAGCCGCCTGTCGCTGTCGGAGACTGAGGACGCGGAAGGAAGGGGTGAGCTGGTGGAGGGAGCGGAAGGGGGCTCCGAGTCAGGGGGGTATCGATCTGAGAGTGCATCACCCGGGTCAGGGTCCGGGCCGCTAGAGGGTAGGGCTGTTGCACCTGCACCACCAGCAGCACTAGCAGCACTAGCAGCAGGGGTAATGGGGTCCCAAGGGACACCCGCGAGCTCGGTAGCAGTGGCCCGGTCACCAAGCTCCCCCCCGTCGGCACCGCCGCCGCCGCCGCCTGGACTTGCACCAAAGCCCAGCTGCTGCTGCTCCGGCAGCGGCGGTGGCGGCGGCGGCTTATGCTGGTGTCTAAATCGCCGCCGACCTATGCTTAACCGTAAGCTGCGGCCATCGTTAGCGTTGGAGCCCGGTATCAAAAGAGCAGCCTGGGAGACCGCCTTCGCCTTCGGCGTCGCCGCCGCCTCCGACGGAGAGCTCACGACCAAGGCAGCGGGCACCGCCGGCATGTGCCCATTCCCATTGGCATGGCGCCGCCGCCAGCCGTACAGCCCATTACGGCGAAACAGATGCAGCGCCGTCGCTGACCGGCTTATTCTCGGGGAGGCAAGTCGTAGCTGTGTGACTCGGAATCGTGGCCATGGAGCGGAGGCAGGAGAATATTCGGCCGGGACGGGCATGCCACCGATGTGATTATATCCATAGGCTGTCAGTCGTTGAAGTCATGGGTCCCTGAGGCTTGGAGGCGGAGTTTGGAAATTCTGGGTGGGGCCCTTGTCTGTGTAGGCTGTCGATGTGGGCTCCAGCCACACGCACACAGCATGTGCGGATTAGGCTTGAGGAGAATTTCAGAGCAGCCGGGTACTTACCAAAGTAAATGAACGCCGAGAAGAAGTAGCGAAAGAGCGTGGTCCTGCTTGGCTGGCTGTCAGTTGGCTGGTCGTCGTGGGCGCCGTCATATGTCGACAGCCGCTCAGCATAGACCAATGTTACAGACGCAATTAGCAATTTTGATAACAACTTTTCTATTTTGTCATGCGTTCAGTCCTCCTGGGCTCCAATGCAACTGCTTGCGACGAAAGGGGTGTTTGAGTACTAGACGTGGGAATAGGACAGGTATGTTTTGTTGGAAAAGTTTGTTTACCTTTTCATGACTTGAAATGTTTAGCTGTACGTTCGTATTGATACTCATGTCGCCGTTAAGAGGACTAACTACAAAGGTATTACTACTCCAACCTGTTCTTTTCATATAGTGTATTTTCCAAGCGACAATTGAAGTTATCACTGTATACATCTTGGATATTTTTATCAAGACAATTTTTTCCCTGAAGGAAATCGGAACAGGAACAGTCGCGTCGCGTAGAGGCTCGAACCTGTAGCTACAATCAAAACTTCACGCAACGAATTAAAAACGTGACGCTATGGGGGGCCCGGACAAATTGACGGATGCCGAACGGGCCTCGGCGATAGCCGCCTTCGAGAAGCTTGGCATTTGCACGCAGCTTGCGGAGGCGGCGGCCGGCCTTGGCTGGAAATCACCAAGTAATATTCAGGAGCAAGCTATCCCGCACTTGCTGCAAGGTGAGCTGGGTTTGTAGGGTCAAGGGTTTTTCTGGCGGCGTCCAACGGTGCCGCCCAGCCCACATCCTCCCTTCACGGTAACCCCCTTGAGCGGCGCCGTGCCCAGAATCCGGAGCTCCTTGTGAGGGTGGCCCATCCCCCAAGCAGTTTTGTGGCTTTGGTCGTGGGCTGTTGATTCGTTGTTTCATCCATCAAAGGACTGCACCCACCCTCACCCCAAGAAGGGCAGCAGGAGACAGCTCCCCGTTTGTGGCAGCTCCCCCACTTTAGGACTGCGTCGACGATATGCGTGGTGATCCCTAAGCGCCCGCCATCCTCCCTCCCCCACTTCCCTCCCAGCACCTGGCCGGGGCTTAAATCCATGCCCACCTAAAGAACCTGTGTATATGTGTATGGGTGCGTGCGAGAGTGAGGGAGATAGAAAATCTTCCCGCCTATCCGACCCATCCGACCCCACCCATTGCCTCCCGCACAGTCCTCACCACCCTTCGCCCAAACCCCCACCCCGGCCAGGTCAGGATGTGATCGGTCTCGCCCAGACCGGCAGCGGCAAGACGGGCGCCTTCTCCCTGCCCATACTGCAGGCCCTCATGGAGCGACCCCAGGAGCACTTTGCGCTCATACTCAGCCCAACACGAGAACTGGCAATTCAAATTGCCGAGCAGGTCGGGACAGGGGGTTCAGCAGTGGGTAGGGGTTGGGGGGGCCTTGGCGGTGTGTGTGGGGGTGGCAACGTGCTTCCCCCCTTCCCCCCGGGGGCATTTGCTTGGGGCTACCGGCGGTCGGGGTCCGTTGGGAAGTCGGCAGTTGCGCCTTTGCCTTTTGCACAATCACTATGATCGCCATGATCATTACCATGATCATCATCCTCATAATGACATTATTATGGATGATGCCACCCCCTACTATTTCCTCCGTCTTCTGCCCCTCCACGGACGCGGTGCAGGTGGAGGCCCTGGGCAGCGGTATCGGTGTCAAGTGCGCCGTGCTGGTGGGCGGGATTGACATGATGGCGCAGGCCATAGCCCTGGCCAAGCGCCCCCACATACTGGTGGGCACCCCGGGGCGAGTGGTGGACCACCTGTCCAATACCAAGGTGGGCGAAAGAGGGGGGCCCCCGGCCGGGGGGGGGACTGGTGGATTGGGTTCAGGAAGGGGGTCAGGTCACCGGGGTGGGCACGGGGGTGGAGAGGGAGGTAGGCAGGGGGTGGTGGAGTAGTATGTGCGAGAATGGGAGGGGTTTCGGTGCGGAGGGGAGGACGGGGGGGTGATGTGCTAGAGGGGCTTAGGGTCGTGTGTCCGTGCGGTCCCGCCATGGCGTCATCTCCCCTCGCCCCTACGCCGATACCCTGCTGCTTGACCTAACACCGCTATTGCTACCGCTAACTCCCCCCCACACACATACACACACGTTTCCCCCCCTTCCCCCGGGCCCCCTCTAGGGTTTTAATTTGAAGCAGCTGAAGCACCTGGTGCTGGACGAGGCGGACAAGCTGCTGGATATGGATTTCGAGCAGGAAATCGACCAGATTCTCAAGGTACGTGCGGGTGGGGAGGGCGGGGAGGGGAGGGGGCTGCCACATCTGGGGGGTTGTACCGGTGATGAGGGTGATGGTCACTGAGGAGGAGGGTTCCATGAAGCACATGACCATGATGATGGTGATGGGTGACGCTCTGTTCCTGTTACCGCGTGGATAGTCGCACACTTGGGTAGGTGAACAACTTGGGGACGGAATACCAAACTCTGTGGACGAGCATCTCGCGAAATCCTGTTGGGCCTCCCCCTCCCCCTCCCCCTCCCCCTCCCCCTCCCCCCTGCCAGGTCATCCCCCGGGACCGGCGCACGCAGCTGTTCTCCGCCACCATGACCAACAAGGTCCAGAAGCTGCAACGCGCCTGCCTGGTGCGGCCCGTGAAGGTGGAGGTGGCGGCCAAGTACTCCACGGTCGAGACCCTGAGGCAGCAGTACGTGTTCATACCCGCCAAGTACAAGGACTGCTACCTGGCGTATGTGCTGAATGAGCTCAGCGGTTCGACATTCATGGTGGGGTGGGGGGTGGCGGCGGGGGTGGGGGTGTTGGGTCCGTAAGGTGGGGGTTAATGGCAAGGACACCCCAACCCCAACCCCTGGTCCCATGGTGGCCAGTTTAATACAGCAGGATGAGGGCAATGTGTGTGTGTGTGTGTGTGGAGGAGGGAACGGATCTTTACAGCGCATATTTGTTTCCCCACCCCGCCGCGCCCCCACCCCGGCAGATCTTCACGCGCACCTGCGAGTCCACTCGCCGCATCGCCCTCATGCTGCGCAACCTGGGTTTCGGAGCGGTGCCCATTCACGGCCACATGAGCCAGCCCAAGCGCCTGGGCGCCCTCAACAAGTTCAAGGCGGGGGAGCGGAGCATCCTCGCGGCCACCGATGTGGCGTCCCGAGGACTGGACATACCCTCTGTGGATGTGGTGATCAACTACGATGTGCCGCAGGCGGGTGGGGGAGCGGCCGGGGGATTGGCGGGCTGGGAGGTTGTAGAAGGGGGTTGGGGTGATAGTGGTCGTGGGGGTGCGCGTGTGGTTGGGGGGGATGGTGGAGAATGCGGTTGTTGGTTTGGAAGGGTGTTCAGGGTTGGGCTGCGACGGGGGTTTGGCGGAGTAGGGGGGGGGTGGTATGGAATGGAGTGGGGGGTGGAGTTTTATGGGGAGTCCAGGATATCGGCCAAACCTATACACACACGTACACACGTGTCGTACGCGACCTCGAGGGGGCCGTCTTTGGGAGGCCGTGTGAATGGCTGAATGGACGGAGAGCTGAAGAGCGTCCACCCCTCAGCTCGCTTCCGAAGGCGACACACCGCCTTTCTGACCCTGCCCCCTCCCTCCTCTTCCCGCAACCCTCCCTCCTCGTCCTGGTAGAACTCCAAGGACTACATTCACCGAGTGGGTCGTACGGCACGTGCAGGCCGCTCAGGCCGCTCCGTAACCATCGTCACGCAGTACGACGTGGAGCTGTTCCAGAAGATCGAGCACCTCACGGGTGGGGGGTTGGGGGGTGGGGCAGAGGGGGTTTCGACGGAGGAGCGCATCAGTGTAGTGGAGTACGGGATGAAGGGGGAAGGAAGGAAGGGGGACACCGACAGACATGGCTCCGGGCATGCATGTACGGTGGGGTTGGCCACTGAAACGGGAGCAGGACACACACCGTATCAACACGACGTCGGCGGGCGAGTACCCGAGTGCCGCATGACCCGTCAGAAAGCCCTACAGGCAACGAACTAACTAACTGCTTGTGGAGCAGGGGACAACTCCTTTAACACCTCCAATTACATCACAGCAGCCTGTGTGTCTGTGTGTGTGTGTGTGTGCGTGTGTGTGTTTCCACCACCCCCGCCTCTTCGCCATTTCTCTTCAACCCTTCCCTCCTCTCCCAACCGTCGGCAGTTGCTTGGTTGGTTAGTTGCTTCGTTACTGATGGTTCTCCCCTCTCCTTTTCGCCTGTTTGACTTTGGCCTGCTTCTCCCTTCGTCCCTCCCCCTCTTCCCCCCTCCCTCTCCCCCCCTTGCGGTGTTGGCGCCATATCTCAGGAGTCAAGATGGAGCAGTTCCAGGCGGAGCGCGAGGAGGTGCTGCTGCTGCTGGAGCGAGTGAGTGACGCGCAGCGGCTGGCGGCCATGCAGATGAAGGAGGCGGATGCGGGGAAGAAGGGAAAGCGGAAAGGGGAGGACGGGGACGATGAGGGAGGAGCGGTGGGGGCAGGGGCAGGGGGCGGCGGCGGAGGGAGAGGTGGCGGGGGCGGGAAGGGAGGCGGCGGGGGCGGCAGCAAGCGGCCCAAGATGGGTGGAAGGAAGTACTGAGCGCTGTGCACAGCACACACACCGTTGAGGTCGCCCTGAGCCAGTCAAGGCTTGGAGGGCTGGCTGGCTGGCTGGGTGAGCGGGGTGAGCGGGGTGTAGGGCCGAGTGATTAGGGTTTCAGAGAGCTTGAGAGGTGTTTGTGTGTATGGATGTTTGTTTGTTTGTGTGTTTGGCTGGGCAAGAGACGGAGGAGCCATCGAGTGTTGACAGGTCACGTCGCCTGTCCGGGTGTCCTGGAGGGGGCGCTTCCACGGGACGGTTCTTCGGTGAGTGGCGATGATGTTGGCGTTGTCTTCTTGCGAGTGGCTTCCTTGGTTGTAAGGGGTAAGGGAAGTGGTCGTGGTGAGTGGCAGAAGCGTCTGGAGGGGTGGGGGAACGGAGTAACGAGCGTCGGGATGGGACATGGCTCCGTCCGGGAGCAAACGTATCCAAGGCGGGGTGGTTTCCCCCAAAGAGCAATGCAAGACTGAGAGGGGTGCTATCGGGAGTCAGTTCCACACGGGGTCCGACTATGCCCCCCGAACATACGCACATGCATACATGCATGCAAATACAGTGTGAGGTAGGGTTTATGTACCGACATTCTTTTCCGGATCCCATGTAAAACATATTTATTCACGTATGCATCTACGTGCATCTGGAGCGTGCTGCTGCGATTGGGTCCCTTGCGCGCATTTCTTTGCTGATGTCGCCATGGCTGGCGGTAGGGGACAGCATGCATATAATTATGGGTGCTTGTGCCGCTTGGCAGGATCAGGGCGACAACGGGGAGGTCCTCGGGGATTATGAGATGTTGAGAGATCCCAAGGAAACGACAGCCCCCTGGCAGGCGGGACAGTAAGGACAAGCAAGGCAACGGCAGGAGAGCAGCGAGGGGAAGAATGCTGTGTGTGGAAAATTGGCTGCGTCACACTGACCACGCAGCGCACTCGAGTGGTAAGAAGGGAAGGTGGTAGATCTGTGCGCAAGCTTGTAATGTGCCTTGAAGCTTTCCAAAGGGTGGGCCCAGAGGTTGGTGTGAATGCGGCGCGGACTGGGCGGATTGGTCGATGGACTGGATGGAGGCATGTACCTGGCAGGCGAAGGCGGAACCACCTTCAAGTCACAGTTAATTGCACCCAGCCCTCCCTGCGTTTGTTTGCTGTCTGTGTAAGAAACCACTGGCAGGTTGACATGCTGATACGCTTGCTTGGTCCGGTACTGTCGGGCCTGCCAAGCAAGCCGCCTGCAGATGCTGTTACTGGACAACGTAGGTCCAATGACATGATGTTTGTAAGCCTGATGAGCGTATAAAAAGGACTGTCGGTCAATTTGTGGGCTGCAACCTTAGTGAAGCTGAAGGTGCAGCTACAGTGAGACTCCATACAACTATGGCTCGGGCGGACACTTTTGTCAGGTGGATAAATGACTCAAGAGCAGGCCAGAGGCAGGCTTTCTATATCCAGATGTTAATCCTTGGAGAGCTGTCCCAAATGGTGTCGGTGTCGTAACTCGGAGCCTTCCCCGAGTTTAACCACGCGAAAACGATACGTTAGTTACTATAAGCCTGTGTTGATGGAGTTGAAAATGGAATTACTGTCGATAGCAAGTTTTTTAACAGCTGCATGCATGCTGGTGCAGTAAAATCGGGGAAGCGTGTTCAATGCCGAGCTCTCATACCATTAAGCTTCTTAGATTCATTATGTGTAAAGCCCAGATAAGTTTTCAGATGATTTTCTACGTAAGCATGCATCGCAGCACGTTATGAAACGGTTCCTCTGCCGGCAAATCGACGTACGACAATTCTAAGGGTGGCCTCCTAGCTTACCTCGACCAAGGCAACCAGAGCACGCTTTACTATGCAACTTAAACTGATAAGGCCAATTCGCACCTTAACTTTGCCTTCGGCGTCTACACCAAAACCCAGTGGATGTCCCGACTAAAAGAACTGCAGGCATCGTTTCTCAAATCCTCTTTTTCATGATCTGCTGATAAGTCTGCCACTTACTGAAGGGGTTCAAACAGCTCTTGCCTCTCATCCTTGCTGGACGGGCGTCCCTTCGAATTGACACCTTTGCCACGCCACTTGCCAAAGCCATGAATTGCTTCTTATGTAGATTTTATCAAAATTGTATGAATTAGCGGTCGCCAGCTTAGGTTACATCCCAGAGTATGGCAAGCAGCACCGCCAGCCTCACCCGGAAGTTAGATGGCGCACCTCCAGTTTTACCACCGATATCGCCTCTCATAGGTGCGCATATTGCACAGCTTAGACCATGCTGGCGCTTGGAATCCTCTGACGAGGATTTTGCCTGGTACGACCGAACATTACCGCAGAACGCCGCAAGCTCCAACCAGCTTACTTCGAACCGGTCGCAGAAGCGCTTGAAAAGGGCGGTTTTTCCGTCGGCTGGTGAGCGCCCATCGCGACTTTGCGGGTGCTGGGGTTTCCCTGCCACCTGTTTTTAAGCCACTTAGGCCCGCCCCTTTTCCCCCTCTGGCTAAACTCCTTGCCTCAGCCACGTGAGAGGGCCACTCATATCCCCTACCAGAAACCCTCCCCTAGCCTTCGCCCCTCTGTGGCTCGTCTTCCCTCCCCGTGCCACCGTTAGGCCATTGGCAAACGCCTCCTCCTCGCCTCAGCCGCCCTTTCCTCCCTGATCTCACGTTGCTGCAGGAATGACGGCAGCCTGCAGGTTGGAGGCTCCCTGGCGCAGTCCGGACTTTGCAGCCCGCCTAGTAGCTCGTTTCGCACCAGCTACCGACCTCGGACATCCGGGTTTCTGAGCTTCAGTCGGGCACCGGTACGCGGTGGGGCCGCCCCAAGGCGGGGCTTGGAGAGTTGGGGCGGTTACAGGCGGGTCAAGGTTGTAGGTATGGTCCAGACGGTCACTACCGAGGCATCCACCTACCCACCCACCCCGCACACGCACACACATTTCACCCCTGCCGAAGCCCCGGCCCTCTTCCGACAGTCCTCCCCCGGCGTCCAATGCCATGCCATCCCGCCGTCGTGACCTCCGTCCCCGCACAGGACAAAACTCGAGGGTATCGCCCACTTGTCTCGGCCAGTGGCAGCGGCGGCGGTGTAGCTGTCGCAGCCGGGCCCTCGCCCTCCGTGCCCATTCCCGAGCCGCCCCTCACGCCCCAGCCTACCCGTCACCACCACCTTCGAACCCCCTACCCGCGCTTCTCCCGCCTTGGAGCTTCGCTAGACTCCGCAACCGCCAACCAACTCCTGTCTATCGCCCAGTCGCACATCAACGATGCCGCCGCTGACCCAGATCAGCGGCGCCAACCGCCAGCGTCGGCGTCCCAGCCTCGGGCCAACCAGTCTTCAGACCCCGGTGGCGCGGCGGCATCCGGGGGAGCCGCGGGTGCTGTCGCAGGCGGATCAGAGGCCGCCGCCAAACCGGGCAGCAGCGGCCGGACGACACCGCCGCCGCCTCCACCGCCGGCATCGCCTAGTCGGTCGACGGGCTCGGGCGGCTCCGCCGCTGCCACGGCCGGCTACAGCGGCGGCGGGGGCAGTAGCACGTCGGCGCTCCCTAGCACCGCCAAGGTGGCGAGCACCATGGGCATCAACGTACCTGCGGAGAACCTGCGGGCCAGCGAGAGGCCCGCCATGGGCGTGTCGACCCGGGGTCCGGGCCATATCATCCAGGTTGGTGGGGCGCGAGGGGGACGGGGGGGAATTGGGGAACAGGGAATTCGGGAGCACGCGACTCGGATGGAGATCCGCAGAGTCTATGGGAGAGCTTGCAGACAATCCGGGTGGGTGAGTAAGTGGATGGGTGGGTGGGTTGGGAGCAACGTCTCCTGGAGGACATCGGGGATTGAGCTGCGGGCTGGGAGGTGAAGGCGGCGGAGGCGGGCGGGCGAAGCGGGGAGGGCCCTGGCCGGGGGGAGGGGGACTTGGATTGGGGGACGTGACGCGGGGCATATGTGAGAGGGTGATGTCGTAAAATGTGTACGTGCACATGGTACACATGTATATATGTACATATATACGTGGATCCGGCAGGAGGGGAGGGAGCTGTGCGGGTTGAGCACTAACACGGCTGCATGATGGCTTGAGGGGCTGGTGTGAGAGTGCGTTGTGAATGTCCACGTTGGTGCGGGGAGGGCTGAGGGGGGTGCTGCAGGGCTGATAGCCAGGTATATATTGTAGCATCATGCTGCTGCTGCTGTTGTTGTTGTTGCCGCTGCGGCGGCAGCAGCCGGGGGCAGCGGCCCTGGGTTACCCGAACTGGGGCCCCCGGGCAGGTGCTGCATGTGCCACGATACGATACAACGCGCGGGTACCAATTACGTCAGGTCCGGCTCGCGTGACGTTCAACATTTTCCGATTTGTATTGCGCTGTTATGCACAACGAGGGATGGGCAGGGGGACAACAGCGCTGCCTGATGGGCTGATCTATTGCCTGGCTGTATGTCTGTATGTATGTCTGTATGTCTGCAGGTTCCCCTGGGTGTCCCCTCCCCCCGGTCGCATCAAGCTCAGGTGGCGATGTTTAAGGCCACACGGGGCCATGCACTCATGGTTTTCAACGAACTGGACAGCGACAAGAATGGCAAGGTGAGGGGAGGGGAGGGGAGGGGGCCCTGTCGCCTGGCGAGGAGGTGGTGTTGCCGGAAAGGTGTTCACACCACACGGCGACACGTGACGACGTGTTCTTTAGGTGTTCTTTAGATGCCCGACCACAACCGCGCGTGTTCTCGTGAGGACATGTGTTCACACCACACCATGCACATAATCGCTCTCCTTCCGTTTCCTCCCCCTGCTCGTTTTGGCCCGGGGTGTGGGTATTCCTCCTCACAGGTCACGCGAAGCGAGTTCGAGGCGGCGGCGCTGTCCCTGGGTTTTTCGCTGGAGCAGGCCCAGCGCTTCTGGGAGAGGTACGGCGGGTGAAAGGGGCGTGGAAAGGGGCCGTGCGGCATGGGGCATGTAGGTGTGGGGACTGAGTTGCTGCTGCTGCTGCTGCTGCATGCGGACGGTCCGGCGGCGGCGGACAGGCACGTTTCCCCTCTTCTCACATCGCCCACCTGATTTCCCTCCTCCCCTTTGTTTACATTTCCGCAGGCTGGACCGGCGTCACCGCGGTTTCCTCGAGGCTCTGGACTGGGGCACCAAGGACGCCTTCCAGCAGATCCAGCTCTTCTCCACGCGGTACATGCAGAAGTACATGGGTGTACCGGACGTGTCCTCCTCGCCGGAGCAGGTGAAAGGACGGGGAGGGCATGGAATAGGGGGCCAGAACACACACATACACACGCAGCTCCTGGACTCCCCTGGAGATGCCAGCTTTCCACAGCAACTCCTACGAAAACGCGCGCACACACATACACACACACGCACACACATACACACACACGCGCACACACGCACACACACGCGCACACACGCACACACACGCGCACAGACGGGCACACGCACACACGGCTTTGTCGTAGGCTCTTGCACTCAGCTCTTATACCGCGCTCTGCGTCCTCTCGTTACCAATTAGCCTCCAGGCGCCTTTACTCCATCTCTGAAACCCCCCATGTCGCTCTCCCAGCCCTGGCTGAAACCCGCCTGTATTTCATCATCATTTGACATCTCCCTCCTACTACTACCGCGCAGGTCCGCAAGTACAACCGTAATCAGGAGCTGATGCAGGTCAAGTCACTGGCGGCTGCCGTGAACATGGTGCGTGCCAACGCGGTGGCGCGAGGCGTACGGCTCTCGGGATCCAGCGGCAACGCCATCTTTGACACCTTTCGGTTCATGGACGTGGACGGAAGGTGCGTACGTGTGTATGTATGTGGGTCGGTTGGGACCTCGCGTTGGAAAGGGGGAATGGATGGAAGGGCGGAGGAAGGCTGCATTATGGCAGCTGGGTGGGGTAGGGGGGAAAGGGCCACGGGCCGGGACTTTGGGGGGCCTTCCTTTCCGCCGCGGCCGGCAGGGGTGTCGGCCCCAGGTTGGCCCCGGGCCTGGCAGCCCCATCCTCGGCCCCTCAAGGAAGCAAGCCCTCTATCGCGCGAACTGGACAACCCAGCTACTGCTCTCCATACGGCGTACTGCAACTTACAGGGCATGGACCCGGCACCCAGCCGGCTAAGTCCATGACAACCATATAGGCCCCTCTCCTTGTTGGGGCCTGCTATGCCCGCCGCCACGCGCCCTTAACACAGGGTCGCTTTCCCTTAACCTGTGTCTGCCTCCCCCTTAACTTTCCTTGCGCCTTCAGCGGTGTGTTGAGCAAGGAGGAGATCCGGGACGCGTTTTTCGCACTGGGGGTGTTCCTGGCAGAGCCGGTTGCCGAGCAGATCATGCAGGTGGGGGAAAGGGGGGTTGGGTGGAGAGAGAGGTGCGGACCGGATGGGGTGAGGAATTTCATGGCTCCAGGGTTACGTTAGCATGGGATTTTATCACACGGGTAAACCATGCGGCACAGGGCGACGGGGTCCAAGGATGAGGCTTTTCGGAAAGTGTTCGCGTGGGTGTGCAGTCGTGTCTGCACTCGCGGCGCCTACAGTTTTTATGGTGTAGTGTTGTTGCCGCTGCGCACAGAGCAAAGGGTCTTTTCGAAAGCCTAATCGCTCGCACCGTTGCAACACATGGGTGACATGGGTACCCTTAAGCAAGGGAGAGATGGTGATGTTTATGTGGAGGGAGGGCCTGAGAGCATGCTGATCCACCGAAGCACGCGGCTGTTCATTTGTTCATTGCCGGAACGATTTGGCAAGAGCCCAAACGGCTTACAGGTGTCAGTACCGACGAACAGAGTCGCGATATCACGTACGAACTCGCTCTTACGCTTTAAGACCGGAGACCAACCACCGTACGACAGCCAGCGTACGAAGCCGGCGCTTACACGCCTACGTCCGTGTCGCCAAATATACATATTTAAATTCCCCCTTGCCTTGACAAGACTACAGTTATGCAGTTTGCGGTATGCGCTGGTATTCCATTCAGACACGCGGGGGGAGAGAAACCCACTTTACGAAGGAATCATCCTTGAATGGCTTTCCCTGCAATACACAGCTTTACAGCAATACTCACTGTCTTTCTTTTTGCCCTTCTTCATCTTCCACAGCTTTTTGACAAGAACGGGAACGGCACCGTGCAATACCACGAGTTCGAGGCAGCCATGTTCCCGCCGTCGCGAGGGACCTAGCAGGCGGCGGGGGGGAGGTGTCATAGTGCACATAGCCGGAGCGCTCAGCACTCTGGGCACCCTGCTGCTGCGATCACTATCGCCAGAACTGCAGCAGCGCCCGTCGCAGAGCCGCGGTTGTCGCAGTCGACACATCGCAGCCGCCAGGGGCTTGTTTTTGGAAAGGCATCGTTGTCGCATGCGGGGGGGGGCCTGTCATTCCGCATGGGGCATTACGGTCGAGATCCCGATGGGGACTTCGATTTGGTCGTCTGCTCATCTGTGTAACATGTGCATTGGAAAGGACGCGCCGGAGTTCGGGAGCACCGCGCTGTCCGTGCGTGTAGTGTATGCCCGTGGTTGCATGCCGTCTTGTTTGGCAAGGGTTGTGTGTGTGTATGTGTGTGTGTGCACACGTGTTTGGGGACGAGGGGAGTTTTGCAGGTAGGGGTGCACCACGCGTCCACTGCAGGAGGAGCGGTGGCTAAGGCGCCCCCGATGCGGATGACGGGCAGCCTGCCTGGGAAACACCTAATGGCTGGGGAGCAGCGGCAAGGGTGCTGGTCAGCAGCCTTGACAGTCAGGCGGACAGGGCCGCCCAGCAGGATGGTCAGCAGGTTTGGAACAGCTGGGGGGCCGAGTGACCGCAGAGTGTCGGTGCATGCGTTTTCATCAAGGCCAGTGCGCACATGTGCCAGTCTGTATGCGCTAAGAAAGTGGAAGGCCGTTGTCTGTGAGTCTGTCTCTGTGCATGTGGATAGCGGTTGGAACGCCGCCGGTGCTGGCAATGCGTCTTTTTAACGGAATAGACGCGCGTTCCTTCCTCCAAGTAAGCGTTATGATATGAAGAGCTTGTTGGCATTGAGTGATGCTTCCTTGTTGGCTCTCGTAGCTTGGCGCGGTCAGAGCTGCTTGCCTGCCGCTCTCCCGCACACGCCACGTCGCGTCAAGGTCTTACCAACTGGCTTGGTGTTTCGGACACATTAGTAACGTTTGAGGAGGAAGAGGAGGAGGAGGTTTTCGTTTCCTCATCTTGTACGTGTCAAAGAAGCTGCGAGTGTGTGGGGGAGGAAGGACGCCGGTGGGTCATCTGTTTAGTCGTACGCACGACCTGGTTTTGATCTGGATTGCACTATGCGTTATGTTGCGGTTGCGGTCTGAACTGCCATCGCCATGGAAGCATTAAGCGTGTGTCATATGCGGATGGTCGGAAGGGGTGCCGGGGATTAACTGTCAGTGCTGCTGCTTTTGGGTCGTTTTCGCATTTTGCTGTGCGTGTGGCCCTGCGTGAGCCATCTTTGCATTGCATGTGTGTGCTTTTACATGCTCCCCTGGGCGCCGAAGCCGAGCTAAGCTGGAAGGGCTGAGCTGGTGGGAAGGTTAAGTCACCATGCGCGTTGGGCGACTAGGGGCAGATGCCTACGGGACGTGGCGTGCTGGTAGTAAAAAAGACCGTTTTTACAGTGATGAGGGCTGTCGATGCGAAATGGTTTATTGTGTAGTGGCGCATGCACCACCTAGGCTGCACCCGAGAGGCTACGGGCTGGTCGCATGTCGCGGCATTGCCAGGTAACAGCATACGTGACACAACCAACGGAAACTCGTTTCACTGGATGAATGGAAACCTGGACACGATAGGAGGGGCATGAGGTTGACTGTCTTTGCAACAGGGCGAGGAAGCAGGGGCTGAGGCCTTTGTTATCGTTTAACAAGTACGGCCTACCGTGGGTTGCTCAAAGCGGCGCTGCAGATGTCGTTCGTTCTGACCCTATCCTGACATAAGCTAGAGAACGTTCCGTGACGTGGTAGACAGTAGCTTTAAATCACTCATGTCCTTCGTGGCCTTCATGTTTACAACCTGGTTAAGGGTGATACTCACGTTGCAAGCCGTCAATCAATCTTATATGAAGGCGGCGCGCTTGCACCAAGCGCCAAGCCGATGGCCATGAGGTGACAAGACTCTCAATGCTACGGGCACGGACATGTGTAATAGAGCATAAGGTGTACGATCGCGGTAGAGGAACTCCAGGCTTTGGTCTGTCCCGTGGAGAGGCCTCAGTCGATCATGCTAGTCGCTGCGCAGGAATGATAATGCATCGCAGGAAACTAGAGAAAGGGGCTCCGTTCTCGCAATGACAGCTGCTACTTTTCCAACAGTCCCACATCCCTCACTTTGAGCATGGGGGAACGGTGTCCAACTATTTTCTCATTTCTCGTTCAGCATGGGAAAATTACAGGGGAAAGGATTGTCATCGATGACCCTGACTGAGCATTATCACAATATCTGCCCTCGTCACTGAGAGAGTCCTCGTCCACGAAATGCAAAGGTGATTTCAAACAAACTGATCCTAAGCGATCTGACTTGTGTGGTCATTCAGATGTGTATTTACAAACAATGCAGTTTCCATAACGCCACAGTACACAGGACAGTAATGACTTGCGATTATAGTATTCCTGTAACGCTGTTTCAAGGTTGTATGTGGAACGGACAGATGTACGGATTATGCACACTTGTCTTGTTTGACTTTGGAGGTCAGCTTGGGACTGCATCCAACAAATAGCTGGCGGCATTATGCTCGTCATACGATAAAATGCAAGCTTTAGCGCGAACTCCAAATTCGGTAGGCATGCTCTGGGACGGGCCATTGACAGCTAAGGGTGGAAGCTGAGTCCCATGGCCCTGCTGGTTGCGCAGATCTTAAGGAAGCGCCTTAATAAGGAAAATGAAGATGTGACTGCAAAACTCCAGAAGCGAGGCAAACTCGCAAACCGGCGTGTAAGCTTTGCGCCGGATGACGAGCTGGAGACGAAGCACATATTTAAGGAGGTAAGGAGTAAGATGGAAGCAAAACATGATGTACTGCCTCCCAGCAGCGCCATAATGGGATTGAAACCCAACTTCCCACGCAGGACTTTCCAATTGCGCGTGACTTGTGCACAGCTCAAGTCGCAGCGGCTCCACACACGCACATTGATGACCAGATTGGCAGCGACCACCTCGCGGCCCTGGAGAACCTGTCACCGCAGTCCATGGAACTGACTAACAATGGCTTAGAGCAGCCATGCGCAGCAACAGTCCAAGTTCCGGGTCCAGGTCCTGTCGAGAGCACCGGCATCGCAGTCACAGGGATAGAACCTCCCTCAGAGTACCAAACCCATGGACATTACCAGCAGCGTGCCGTGTATGCGCGCAACTTGGACATAACGCTAAATGTCCCAAACCTGTCGACACTTGTTGAGGAGGACGAGGAGGACTTCGGCGCCGGGGACATCAGCCGCCGCCTCGGCAGCTGCGCTGACACCCCGTCAATGCACCCTGTGATGCTGGATGACATTGGCGGCGGGTACTTGGCGTCCGAGTCCCCAACGAGCCCAAACATGCAGATGTGCAGCGACAGCAAGCACGAGGACCAAGAAGACGCTCCCCTACGGGACTTCTGGGGTTTCGCGCCCGGTAGGGATGATACCCTCGACGTCGACTACCGTAAGTGCTATACTAGTTTCCGTTCGCCGCATGCTGCATAAAATGAATCCCACCAATGAGCGGAACGTTATGATTGATTTGTCTCACTCCTTGACTTGTGCACGTGCAGGGAAAATGGTCATGGGGGAGAAGACATACAACGCAGTGTACGGCACAGGTACATTCGGGTGCGGCATAGTTACACTCTGTGAGATAGGTGACGGGTGCAATCACGGTGTTCTTGGGACTTAGGGTCTTGTAGCCCCAAACCTGCTAGGATCGGAAGAAACAATCATTTGGGGAATCCCCCAAACATAAATGCCTTGTATTAACCACATCCATATTTGCGGGGCGCATGTTTGGCAGGTCACTCATCCTTGCAGCCTGAAGGCATGACCACCATGCTGGCAGTTGGCATTGTGCCAGATGCAGGTGGCGTGCGCTCACCTCTTCGCGGCGGCCCTGAGTTCGTGCCAACAGCTGAGGGCCGCGGTGCAGCCGCAGGAAGGACGGTAGTGGCGTGTGACGCCGGGCCAGCGGCACCCATGCAGGTGCAGCCCGCCAAAGCGGACCTTGCGCCGCCGGCCGTCCCAGCAGCCACGCAGGCAGTGCAGCCACCCTTACGGAGAGCGCCATTACAGCAGCAGCAACCCCAGCAAACGGAGCTATCCGCCATCAAAGCGGAACCACTGCAGTCCTTCAGCCTTCCGCAGGCGCTGGCAGCGCAGCAGCCGCAAACTCGCGTCCAGGTGCATAGCACGCCGTTCATGGATAACACGATGCGGCTCCTGGATGACCAGACGGAAGCCTGGAGGTTGCCAGGCCACCCGTGTGCCTATGACCGGGGGCGGCTGAGCGTGGCCAGCAACAGAGTGCTAGCGCCAGGAACCCGGCGTGGAGCCGGTGGCGCGGGCGGCGGGGAAACCACCATGCTGCTGGGCCCCACTATGACAATGGCCTCGGCCGGTAACGGCAACACCGTCCAACTGCTTGCTGACACCACAAACCAGCGGGGGGCCTACGAACGCCTAGTGCAAAAGATACCGGGGCGCCAGGATCCACCGGCCGTTGAACCGCTTCCTCGGTGCGTGAAGCGAGGGAAGGCGGCAGGGCTTTGGCCGCTCGCCTATTAAGACAGCGCCGGGGGCTTTCTGGGTGACATCCCTTGTGCAATGTCCAGCAGTGCCCAGCGCCACAGTAGCCGAACATGTGCCTTGTAGGCATTGCGCAAAAGCACTAAGCTCAGACGACGTTGCACGTCCCGGTTGATGAGTTTCTGCATCGTGCGTCCCCTTGACTGCATATTTATGTCCCCAGGCCTGCCGTCGGGGCCAGACCCGGGGATTACATTGCGGCGTCAAGCGCAGCTGCGGAGCAGCGTCTAGCCGCGTTTAAGGCCCAAGCTTCTTTAGACCTTAAGACGGCGGCAAGTAGTGATCTGCTCGAGGACGGCGGTCTTACCATGGACGCTCATTTCCAAATGCCACCGGAGCCGACCACGGAACTCTCGCAGCTGCAAGACGAGGTGCAGGCACGGCAGCGGCCAGTGCACCTTGGTAGCGGCGAGATGCCGCTGAGCACAACGGTGGCTTTGTCGCAGGGGTGCGGCATGAGCGTTAGCGCACAGGCCGCGCGGGCGCCACCTTGTGCCGCGCGCGCACCTTCACGGCTGTCGTGTGAGGTGAGCTCTGCGATCCTGCTTTCAGGACGTATTTAAGCGACTGGTGCTGGGGTCGGGCGACATCTGGGCCTCGCATGTCGATTGCTCCTGCTTTCAAACCAGTGTGATATCCCCTCTAAAAGGAACCATTCGCAATGCCTCATCTTGAAGATGTACCGTGCCTCATCTGTTGATGCAGGAGTTCCTTGGCCTCATTGACGTGAGCTTTATCAATAAGGTTTACCGTGATACGTTCCAACCTGGATCTGACCCGCCACCCAAAACGGTGGCTGAGGTTTACGCGGCGGCGACGTGCACCCGCGCCTACGTGGATGCCTACCATGCGCAGTCGCTTGACCTCGCCGCGCGCTTGGCTAACACGGGCACTCGCGTGGCACATCTGGAGGCGGAGCTGACAGCCAATAAGCAGGGGCTTTTTATGGCCGTGCAGGTGAGAGGGAAGAGAGCTGGGTCTGTTAGTACTCTGGTAGTACAAGGTACATGGTACGTTCAGTTGGTGCCTTACGTAGCTAGCCACCGAACTCTATAGTAGTGTTGGCGTGGGGTGCGCCACGGCGGTCTTTTAACGGCTCCACTGTGACCAGACCTAGCCAACCACGGTGAAGTGCCGGTGCAATGGCTGGGTCTGTTAGTGCTGTGAGTACTCGCCTATCGGGGCAGCTTGGTGCGGAAACTATGAGGTCAATCGGAGGGCAAAGCCCCATAATGGCATCTCCATCAGGACCTTTTATACGGTGCTTACAAAGCCAGGTTGAAAGTGTCAGGCATCGGGGTTCATGCGGGGATGGCATCAGCCGCTAGAGCGAAGGGATGGACACGGGAAACACCAAGGCCATCGGCGCTTCATGAAACGGTACGTAGAGCGCCTGCCGCGCTATACTGCTCCATGTCGTTTTCACGGAATCTGTGGACCCTGAGCCAAATTACGTCCCCGCAAAGCTTCTACCGTATCTTTGCTGAGTGGGACTTGCATGACCAACCCGTCCCTGCCCGCCCTGTATTCCTGCAGATGCTGCCACCCGCACAGCTGAAAATGGTCAAGATGCAATTCGAGGGCCTCAAGGAGCTCTGCCGCCTGAGGACAGTCAAGCAGGTTAAGCAGGCCCAGCTGGGAGTTATGGAGGACCACCTGGCTCAGTTGGGCGCACGCAAGCTGCAGCTGCAGGCTGACCTTGACGCCTTCACGGTAGGTTACCAGTCCGAAGCCCTTAACGAAGAGCCGTAATGACAATCAGTACAGGGGTTGGTGCACGCCGGTTTCCGCACGGTAGCACTCGCTACAAGCCCCGTGCATTTCGGTCCTACACTCCAACATAGAACTAAACTTGGGGCCAACTTGACATGCAGCGTTGAGCGAACAGAAAACGGATTGAAGTGGAAAGCGAGGACTGCGCTACATGCTTGCATTCCGTGATTTTGGCGGTGCGGACGCGAGTCACGACAGCTCAGCATCAGCAAGAACGCGGTTTGTAAACGGCCGGCGATCCGCCGCCCTTTGCCAAAACGTGCAGGCGGAGTTTGAGCGCTTGCGTGTGTGTGCTGAAGAGGTCGAGTCTATCCCCGTGGTTATCACGCGAATGCGCCAAGACGACGAGGAGCGTGTCCAGGTGAGGCAAACGCGGCCCTGTGCAACTCAGCACAGCCAGCCACGTCGTCACATATCCCACGGCACTATCAATGGTTACAAGCACGCTGACATGCTTTACTGCACCGCCGTCATGCGTGAATCTGCTTTTGCTTGCCATTCCGCCTGGAACTGAGTTTCGACTTGTGCTCCCTCATGTACTGGGTATCTTCGAGCCACAGGAGGTCCTGCAGCGTAAGAGAACCATAGAATCACATTTGCAGCGCCTGAAAGCGCTGCGGGCTCAAAACGCGGAGCGGCAGCAGCGGCTGGGCGCCATGCAGGCTGAGCAACAGGCGAAGGAGAAGGGCAGGGTGCGCCGGGTTCATTTGGGTCCATTTGGTGTCACCGCGTTCGTCAGGAGCATTCCTCCCTATTTCGGAATCGGGCGATTCCTCTTTCATGCATAGTGCTAGATAAATAGCTTGAAGGTGGTGTTTGCGACGCAACGGCTTGTTCATAAATACGCATGTGCCCCTTTCACTCCTCCAGCCATCCATAACTGCCCTGATGGAGGAGCGCTGTCAGCTGGAGGAGCGCGCTGCTGAGTTGCGGTCTCGCCTGGACAACAGTGCCATGACTCCCGGCAGCGAGGAACAGCTCATTCGCGAGGCGGTTAGGAAATCCGAGACGGTTGAGGCTCTTTTGGGTTTGCATGTAAGTACCTCGGCGCCAGGCAGATTCCGTACCAGGATGCAATGTTAGCAATACATGCCTGGACTGTATCTGTTCGGTGCTGTGCATGCACACGTGACGCACGCTTGCGCTGCTGTATGTTCTCCGCTTCAACTTTTGCGCCTGAGCCTCTTTACCCTTATGCTGCAGAGCCTGCGGTTGGACATCACGAACATGGAGCATACTGGCACATTCAAGCTACTCTTCCGGCGGGCGTACAGCATCGTGTGCACTGCTTCGGACGGCTTTATGGACATCAGGGTGACATGCCAGGATGCCACCGCAGCCGGTTTGGATGGCCTGGCGCCAAGCATCCGAGACCGCGTCCGTAAGTTCAGCCAGCGGTCCAAAGTGCGCCGACTCCACTGTGCATACAGCAGCTGATTACCACCCAAGTCTCTGACTGTGTCGCCACACCGTACCCATTTTCATTCACTTAACCCCGAGTCCTCAATGCAAAAAAACGCTTTCCCTGGTTACGCTCCCACCTCTCTGTGGTGCATAGACGCGTCGTCCACGGCGCTCAGCTGCACGATACCCCGCGTGCAGCTCCCACTGCGGCTCGAGTACACCCTGGAGCAGCTGCAGCGGATGTGCCGCGTGGCGCAGCAGCTAGAGAGCTGCTGGTTGCGGTTTGACTGCCTGCAGCGACCGTATGCGGAGCCTGCGGTGGCGCTGACGTCGCAGCAGGGTGACGCTGGCGACAATTTCGCTCTAGTCCTCAGGTTCACCAATGCCGATACCATCACTGGCGTGACCATACGCATGCCGTGGTCCGCGGCGCTGCGCTCCGATTATGTGAAGCCGCGGCTAAGCGTCCAGCTGATGAGCCTGGACCCACCAGTGACACAGCGGCAGTACTGCGACGCCCTACTGGACACCGTGCTCAACAAGCTGCCCCCCGGCACGGGCTACATCACGGCAATCTGTTACGCAATGAGCGAGACGCTGCAAGTGCCCAGCAACTGAGTGTAGAGTGCAAGGTAACAGCGCGCAAAGGTTGGAGACGTGAAGGCAAGATGCTCTGGCATCCTGTTGCTCGGCGCAGGGCAGTGCACTGCGGGGCAAGCTCAGACAGCCAGGGAAGATGCTGAACGCAACGACCAACGATGACGATTATGTTCTTCGTAAACCACAGGGCCTAAGCTGTTACGCTGGACGCAAACGAAGGACGAAACCCTATGCTGGCTGATGCTCGGCGCAGGTTAAGATACGGCAAGGAACGGGGACGCCAACCCGACCTCCTGTTATTTTCGGTCGCATCGGAACCTATGCAAATCCTAGGAGTATAGCTACTCGGTAAAAGGGAGGCCTCATCGTCATGGTTTGCGGTAGCCTCGTATGCAAGGTCGCCGTTCGCAACCCTGTACATTATGTGTGTTCACACGTGCCAGCCGAGGCGAGGCCTGTGGAACTGGACAGGTGCAAATGCCGCAATGCATCTATGGCTAGTACCCGGTGCTTGTCAAGTCATACGCAAAAGATTGCGATCGGCGTATGGACCAGGACCAGGTACTGCAGGGCGTGCGTTGATAGGTTGGATACGCGGCGCGGCAAGGAAAGACGTCGGACACCCTGGTGAATGCAGGGGTTTCAGCTTTTGCGTACCCTACTTCGGCGCGACGTGCCCAACTCTCTAGGCCGATAGTACTGCAAAACACTGTGCCCAGCTGAAATAAGGTGTGTTTAATGCCTACGCCGATGATGGCGCCTGCCCGTCTTCTGGAAGACAATCGATTGAGTTGCTCTGTAGCACATGGCCGGAGTTCTCGCACGCTGAAAAGCGCTTGGTAACCGTCGCTGGGAAGGTTGAATGAGGCTAGATGCATTGCCGCTTGGTGGTCATTTTCTACTACCTACGCAAAAAAATGAATCTTGTCAAGCCCCTCTGTGTACATTGCATCAACCTTCCAGTCAAAGCCTCGTGTTGAGAGCAACGTTCCTCACCTTAAGCACAGCGGTTAGAACGCTTGAATGCAGGACATAATTGCACGCATTTATATGTCAAGCAAAGGTGTTGACACACCATATCTATAGCAAATGTGCCGTACTTTTGTCCCTGTAAACCTAGATGCCTTAGAAGATGCTGCCTTTAGTCGTAGCATCTATCCACCCATTCCCTTGTATTATAGAGTATCGACTTACGATATCGTATTATTTTTTTATTGTCAGGAAATAGTTCACACTTTGTGTGTCCTTTCGCGGGGCTGCATCGCGGACAAACATGGCGGCCGTGGGGAAGGGGGACGTGGAGGCGCCCCCTCCCGCACAGTTTCCGTATGATGTCACCCAGGGGGAGCTGCTGGCCATGAACGAGGTGACCGGGAGCAAGCGAAGAGGTAGCTCTACTGGCCTTTTGTCCTTTATGGAACATTTTGCCTCCATTATACACCCAGGCCAAAGACACGACAGCGCTTAAAAGTATAGGCGGAGCTAATGGCCTCGCAAAGAAGCTGCTTTCAGACCTTCACAAGGGCCTCGACCCACAAGGGCAAGGTCTGGCCTCCATTGAAGCCCATGTCGATGCTTACGGTGAAAACAAGTTTCCGGAGGTGCCTCCAAAGTCGGTAAGCAGCACTGGGCTTTGCTTGCGGTGAAGGAAAACGAGTTGTACCTGACATCCTAATGGTGTGGCGCATTCAACAGTTTCTGGCCCTGGTGTGGGGTAACCTTCAAGACCCAGTCATTATCATCCTTATCATAGCTGCCTTGGTAAGTTTTATGCTAGCCTGCTTGTAACCTTACCGTTTCGGTTGCCGCAAAGGCTTGAGCGTGGGCCGTGCTTCCAGGTTTCAACAATCCTTGGAGCTGCAATAGCTGAGCAGCGGAAGCATGGCGAATGGATTGAGGGCGTGGCTATTTGGGTGGCCATCATCATCGTTGTATCCGTCAGTAAGTCGGAATTTCATGGTTTCAGCGCTATTCCTGCTGATTACAATGTTGTGACCCCTTGCGTTAACATCCGCCCATGCGGGGGACGCTTTATACCAAGACATGCCACATTGGCCTTACCTCGACTTGCCCGTTAAACGACCGCGTCCGTCGAATGCAGGTGCTGGGAACGATTACCAAAAAGACCGGCAGTTCCGAAAGCTTAATGCTCAGAAGGACAAGATAATGGTAAAGGTGGTCCGTGGAGGCCACACAGAACTGATTGAAAACACGCAGCTCGTCGTTGGCGACGTCTACCTTTTGGACACGGGAGATAAAGTTGTTGCGGATGGCATTTGCTTTGATAGCCAGGGTCTGGTCGTGGATGAGGCCTCCCTCACCGGCGAGTCGGACCCCATCAAAAAGAACCCCGAGGACGACTGCTGGGTGCGGTCCGGGACACAGGTGCGCCACTGTGCAATAGCTTTTTGCTACCTTACCGGCCGGCCTAGACCACCTGCTAGCTTGGGGGCAACCAAGGCGTTCACTGCTAACTGCGTCCACTGCTTATGGGGAGGTTTTCCTGGGTTGAGCCCTCGTCCTCCTCTTTTCGCCCCCCGTCACATGCGCGCGACTGTGCCGGTTGGATCTCAATCTGGATTTAGGTCACGGAGGGCAGCGGCAAGCTACTGATCGTCGCCGTGGGTGAGAACTCGGAGTGGGGCAAAACAATGGCGCTAGTGGGCGAGGCGGGTGACGACGAGACACCGTTGCAAGTGAAGCTTACCTGGGTGGCCAGCACGGTCGGCAAGGTCGGCTTTGCAGTGGCCATATGCTGCTTTGCCGCGCTGTTGATCAAGTGAGTGGAGGGGGACGCGGGCCGGGGAGGGGGGACCGGGAGAGGAAATCCAGTGGTGGTATGACAAGTGATGGGACTGGGGATGCAGGATCGGATCTGGAAAGACATCAAAAACCCCGATAGGGGGGAACGAGCTCAGCACTCTGGCCTTACCCAAATCGAAGCGATCGGAAATTTTTGGGGACCGGGACGACTCCGGGAGAAGCAGAAGGGGTGTGCGATATGCGGCGGAGTGGTTGTGGCGGCGTTGGAGCTAAGAAGGAGATATGGCCTATTGTGGGCATGTGTTTGTGGACGGCATCCGCATATTTGGAGGGAGACCAGATTCATCAAGCGAGATCAGACTGGACCTGCCTGACCAGTCGACATTGCCGAGACATTGCTGCGAGCAGCGGACCCCGGATTGGGGAGCGGAGCGGACCAGGTGGCCGCATCGCCTCCTGGCCCCCCTTGGCGCAGCCCAGCAACGCCGCCGTACACCATGCGGGCCACATGAGGCCGGCCCCGGCGCATCGCCCCCTTTTGGTATCGCCGGCACGTAGAAGCGCGCTCCCACGTGCGTAGCAAACCCCGGATTGAGGGCGGCATCCCCGGCACGGCGGCAAGCAGCTATCGTTCCTGCGGCTATTGAACAGCGGCCTCAGGGTCGTCGAAGTAGCCTGGATGGCAATATCATGCATGCTTCACTTTGCACACCACCACCTCGCAATAGTGTGCCCCTCCTCTCATCCCCACCTTAATCATGACCTCGCCCGCACCCGCGGCGGCCTCCTCGCACCTGTGGTACCCTCAGATGGTGTGTTGTGAACAAGGGGTTCCCCGTCAAGAAGATCAACCAGAACGGACCCATCCAGTTCTTCCTGTACTCGGTGACCATCATCGTGGTGGCGGTGCCCGAGGGGCTGCCGCTGGCCGTGACCATTTCGTTGGCGTACTCGATGAAGAAGATGATGAAGGGTGGGTCGTGTCTGTGTGGGGGGGAAGCCCTGGGTGGGGGGGATGTCGATGCGTCTGTTCGTTCGTGGTTGTAGTCTGTGTGGCCGAAATGGCCTTTATGGTTGCAACGACCTAACCTGAAGCTGGCTCCAAACACACACGTGAATATACGCGGCCATGGTGATGTTGGCGCAGATAACAACTTTGTTCGCGTCTTGGCGGCCTGCGAGACTATGGGCGGCGCCACGGCCATTTGCTCGGACAAGACCGGAACGCTTACAGAGAACCGCATGACAGTGGTGGAGGGCTGGTTTGCGGGCAAGTCGTACGACCACTGCCCTCAGCCCGAGGAGCTCCCGCAGGACGTGTGCGACGAGCTGAAGCTGAACTGCGCTCTGAACTCGAAGGCGTTTGTGCTAGACAACGGACCCAAAATTGACTTTGTAGGCAACCGTACGGAGTGTGCGCTGCTTATGATGCTCAGAAATTGGGGCTGCGATTATGCAAGCGTGCGCGACGAGTACGATGCCAGCGTGTTCAAGGTACGGCGGGACAGCGTTGGTCAATTGGGCGACTAGGTCACGCGGGGGAGGGGGAAGGGGCGGGCGGGTGTTCGAGGGCTTGAGATTCCGTTGAGGGGTGGGTGAAGCATTAGTTAATTATAGTTGCGGGCACTGCGTATTAGGGTCGCCTGTTATGGGTTATGCAGACAGAGGACAAGAAGGGAAAGGAGAGGAGGAGGGGGAGGTTGGGAACGGCTTTGTTATGGCGACGAAGGCTTCTCGAAGCAGAGGGCATTACGGAAAAGCTGGAAGAGCCGACTGTGATTGTGAAGGCCGGCTACCGGCGGATTTCCAGGCGTGCAGCTTCAGCAGCATCAGCAGCTAGCCATGAGGCAAGCTGCCCAGGACGGCAATAACCTCACTTTTTGGTAAAAGAAACGGCAGCGGCGGCTGTGGCTGGTGCAGGGGTTTGCGCATGTTTTTTGCTGCCGTACGTTTTTCCCCCGCCTCCGGCGGCCCTGGCGGGAACCTGGCGGCGGCCCTGCTCAGCTGGTCTGGGAGGCTCTCTTGCGGAATCGTTTGACTGGGCCAACCGAAGACATTAACAACCCGCTAACCCACTATGAAACTTGCTGCCATGGCGCAAGTTGTTGCGGCAGCACAGCTCTCCTGTTTAAGAGGGGCCAGCGAAGCAGCAAGCGTGATGCAGTTGGTCGTCCGTGTCACTCATGGGACACCCGCAGCAACGCGGATGACGGATGATGGTGTGACGAACAACTAGGAGTGCCGTGGTGGCTCGCGGACCGCCTTGGAGGGGCCTTGGAGGTCTTGAGGGGGCCTTTAAGGAGCTGTTGTCGCTCCCCATGCTAGTCGTGCCATCGTCGTCGTTGTGATCGTGCACTGCAGCTAGGGTGCGCAGAACTCACGGCGTTCCTCCTTGATCTCCCCTCCGGGGCATCGTCCGGGCTATATAATCAATCGTTGCCTGCCACCCGCGTGTTCTCCCACCCCCGACACCTTTTCCTTTCCCCCTGCCAGGTCTTTGGATTCTCCTCCACGAAGAAGATGGCCTCCGCCACCATTAAGTTTGCCGACAAGTTCCGCCACTACAACAAGGGCGCGGCGGAATGGGTGCTCAAGCGCTGCACATCCATGTACGATGGCGCTCGCGTCATAGAGATGACGGAGGTGGAGCGCGCGCGGCTCATGGAGGTGGTCACCGGCATGGCCAAGCGCGGCCTGCGCTGCATCTGCCTCACCTACACCGACTACCCTCTGGTGGACGACAGCCGCCCGCTGGACTTCTTTGAGGATTCGGACTACCTGGACCGCAACCTCGTGGCCATGGCTATTGTGGGAATTAAGGACCCCGTGCGCAAGGAGGTGCCCGAGGCGGTGCGGGTGTGTCAGCGGGCGGGCATCACGGTGCGCATGGTGACGGGCGACAACATCCACACCGCGCAGCACATTGCCAGGGAGTGCGGCATCCTCACGGATGATTGCATTGCGCTGGAAGGCCCGGATTTCAGGAAGATGGCGGCGCAGGAGCTGCTGCCGCTGCTGCCCAAGCTGCGCGTGCTGGCCAGGTCGTCTCCGGAGGACAAGTTGACGTTGGTGTCGATGTTGAAGCAGCAGGGCGAGGTGGTGGCGGTGACGGGCGACGGCACCAATGACGCACCCGCGCTCAAGGAGAGCGATGTGGGCCTGGCCATGGGAATTGCAGGTATGATTCAGGGAGGGGGAAGAGGGCGTGTAGGCGGAAGGAAAGGCGTCAGAGTGGAAGGGGGGAAAAGAGGGAAAGAGGGAGAAAGGTGTGCGGCGATATGTACGGGATGTCTAGGTTCAGGAGGAAGGGTTGTATATCATGGCATGTAGGATAGGAACGTCCTGCGTCGTCCCGAGGTTGGGATCAAGGGAGATTGGAGATGCGGAAGGTTGCACATTTGGCGGGAAATGATTTTGGTATTGGAGACCGGTGGGCCAGCCGCGGCCCCCGTGTGTTCACCTCCGGAGGTTGTGTACGTGCGGTTTCCTGGTCCCTGGCGCCCTTCACATTCTGCACGCATTTGACGACCATGACTTGATGATGCGGCCATCCGGTATCATACTTTGTGCCACATGTCTTCCTGCTGCTGCACCTGCTGTTGCTGCTGCAGGTACGGAGGTGGCCAAGGAGGCAGCGGACATTGTCATTATGGATGACAACTTCTCCTCCATCGTCAAGTCGGTGTTGTGGGGGCGTTCCGTGTTCACCAACATTCGCAAGTTCCTCATGTTCCAGTTGACTGTCAACTTTGTGGCGCTCGTCATTGCGTTCTTTGGCGCCGTGATTGATGGCCACGAGCCGCTCAATGTGCTGCAACTGCTGTGGGTCAACCTCATTATGGTGAGTCACGAGGGGTTAGGAAAGAGCGGGGGGAAGGGAGGGAAACAGCTGAGTGGATATACTTTGGGAAAGGGTGTCCACTACCACCACCGCGAGTTTGTTGCTCTCGGCACACCCGGCTTGCAGCCCCCCACCGGCGGCCTCTGGGCCCATCCCAACCCTCAGCCGACTCTCATCACGTCAAAGGAAACGTTACTCCCTTTGTTGTTCGGTTCCCGTTTATCCCTTTACCCGTCTCCTTCACCCGTCTCCAACCTCGCCGCTCTCCGGTACCTTTGACGGCTCCAGGACACGATGGGCGCTCTGGCGCTGGCCACGGAGGATCCCAACCCCGAGCTGCTGCTGATGAAGCCGTACGGCCGCAACGAAAACCTCATCACGCGCATCATGTGGAAGCACATTTTGGTGCAGGGCTGCTATCAGCTCTTTTGGATGTTTTTCATCTTGTACGGCGCGCCCAAAATCCTAACAGACGCCCGCTACGCCATCGAGCCGAAGGAGGACTTTTGGATGCGAGAATGCAGCTCCAAGCTCAAGTCCAACACGGCTCAGCTCTGCAACATTATGAATTACTGCGGCTTCCCATACCACGAGCCGGATCCTTTTGGCACGGATACCGTAAATTCGGATACCTGCAGTCTGTATGCGTCTTGGAAGAACGTCAACAGGACAGTGCCCAGCGATGCGCGCACAGCGATGTGCGACTTTAGCGTCACCGCGGGGGGTGTCCGCAGCGAATGCGACTTGTACAAGGCTTGGCAGAGCGCCAAAAAGACGATGAACGACGAGTACGCGACCCACACGGACGACGAGTACAGACCCGTGCTTTCAATTCTCTTCAACGCCTTCATTTTCTGCCAGATCTTTAACGAGATCAACGCGCGTCGCATAAACGACGAGTACACCATTTTCACTGGCCTTTTCACCAACCCGATCTTTGTGACCGTGATTGCCGTCACGGCCGTGTTTCAGATTATCATCATCAACGTGCCTTTTATCAACAGTAAATTCTTCAAGGTTCAGAGGTTGACTTGGCAGGAGTGGCTCGTCACCGTCGCCATCGGGCTCGGCGCCATCCCGCTCAGCCTCGCCACCCGCTTCATTACCAAGGTCATGCCGGAGAACTGCCTTCGCGGCACACGTGTACACGCCAGTACGGGCCGTTCACTGTCCGGCAAGCCCAACAGCCGTACAACGTCAGGCGGCAGTCGTACGGTTTCGGGCGCGCGAGCCATGTCCGGCAACCCGCAGAACCAACACCACCGAGGGAAAACCGTGTCTTGAGGGACATTGGCTGGAAGGGTTTATACATTGGCAATAGACTTGAGGAGAGAGGGTGTGTGGAGGAAGTTCGATGGGGGAAGGGCGGGGCGAGGGACAGGCACATGAGCCGTACAGCGATGGTGTCGTTCTGTGCCGTGGACTTGCGTGGTTGGTGTGGGGAGGGTTGATCTTGTTTGAGAAGAAACCATACGCAATGGTTGCTTGATGGCGCGAGGAGGGTTGACCGCGTCTCTGCTGCTCTCGCCCAATAAGAGGAGAGGAGGACTTTTGATGTATTTGTTCCGCATCCCCACGCACCCAAGGCACCCAACGCCCATGTTTTCCTGCAAGGTCGACGTTTCCCCCCTGATCACTTCGTCGCAGCCCCCCTAGTTGGCATGTGGCTGCCGGGTGAGATGGGAGTGCGTGGTGACTGAGGTAACCTCTCTAATCCGGTGAGAGGCCTTCCCCCCGTTTCCGGAGCTCCGTGATGTTGTGCTGTTGGGGGCAGTGGGCGACTGGGGGCAGTGGGCGGGGCGGGGCGGGGCGTGCACCATCAGCCAGGTGAAGCGGGGCCTGTTGTGAGGTTGTTGGTGTTGGTTGCGCTGCTGGTGGTAGAGGAGGTAGTTGTTGTGGGGGTAGTAACACGTTTGGTGGTTTATGGATTTGAGACCGGCCGTCGGACTGTGTGTGTTGGGGGGGAGGGGACTTCTATTCATGTGACATCGATATAGTACGCTTTCTTAAATTGAGACAGCCATCCCTCCTCCTCTGCAACCTTGTTTTCCGCGCCACGCGCCAAAGGTACCGGGGAGGGGGCTGCGAGCCGGCGTTGATGTTCGCTGGTGGTGGTGGCGTGCATGCAGAGACTCATCAGTCCTTTCCCGCGCGCTGGCTGCGTGGGGGTTGCCGGGTCGCGACCCCCTCCTGTCCTTGGCAGCCGTGAGGCTTCAGATGGGTGTGGAGGGGGGGGCAGTGAAGAGGAGGTGATGGTGCGAATAAGGCGGTCATGCGGCACGTGCCAGCTGACGCAGTACCTCGCAGTATCCCTGTGGCGCGTTTGTGCGCTCACCATGAAAGGAACCAAGAGACGCACCGGGGCGGACACACATCCGTAAGAAGGGGGAGAGATGGACGCATGATTGGCTCCTTGACTGGCCCCTTGATGTGTATGAAGAACGACGACAGCACGGATGGACACCGTCCAAAGCTCCGCCGGCAGCAGGGCAGCATGGGGGCGTGTGCTATCTGGGCACCTAACCCAAGGTGAAGGGCGTGGCGTGGGTGCAATGCGGCGTGCGGGCGCGGGCTGTCCACGGTGGCAACATGTCGTGGTGGTGTTTCTGCACCCCCGTCTGCCCCACCCGCCCTCGCGCTCCGCTGGGAGTTCCGGGCTCCCCCGGTCGATCTGGTACTCCTTTGCGTGTATGTATGTGTGTGTGTTGAAGTTGGATGGATGTACCATATATTTACTATTATTGTGGAGGAAAGATGTCGATGCTCGTATGTGAACGACGGCTGCTGCTGCTGCTGCTGGGGCGCAACGGGAAATCTGTGAGAAACTCAATCCTCAGTGCGGTCCTGCGGTTGATCTCTTCCCCGTGTAGGATTAAGGTGTAATTAGAATGCAAAAAGTGATATTAGGTGTATATGTTAGGGGTGCGACATCAGGCCATCAGGCTGGCGGCTGACTTTGCTGATGCTTTTGCTACCTCCTCTGGGCTCTTTTTTGGTGCTTTGGCAGCGGCCATGATGGCCCGCCGGCGAGACGAGCTGTCGCAAGCCGCGGCTGTGGTAGTCAGTCGTGATTCTGGTCGCGGTGGTCTCAAAAGGCCCCCGTGCACGGGATCCGCCGGCGCGAGGTACCAGTGGGTGCCGTACTCAGATCCAGTGCAGTACAGCTTATGACACTACAAGGCAAACTGACGGGCGAAATAATAGCTGAGCTGCGATATGCCGTGGTCGCGCTGCTTCATGTATGCGAGGTGTCGGACTGGATAGGGGTGATAGGTGGACTGGAACTGAACCACCTGCTTTGTGACGGCCGGAATGTGACCAGAACCGGGCCGCTGTGAACACTGATGGTGAGGATGGGGTTGGTCACTTGTTGTACATGCGCGCGCGTGTTGACGCAGAACGTACATGCTCCGGAGGTACACCCTTGGCTATCCACAAAAGGAGGAGGGAAAGCAGCTCGTGGGGGGAGAGGTAGGGCGGACCTTTGTCCGGCAGCCGGGTGTGTTCCGCACACGCCCACCACCGAGGTGGCTATCTGCCGGGGACCTACCCCAACTCCACCCCCGCACCCCTGGGGCGACCACGAGTAGGCAGCCTACTGCGGGGTCGGTCTGCGATCTGAGCGGCGTTCAGCACCAGAGGGTGGGAAGGTGGACAGCGCCGGGCGGTGGGTTGGACGCTCGTGTCAATGGGGGGGTTGCGCTGCGTCTGGGGGCATCTTGCCAGGGGGGCAGCGGCGACAGCGTTGGAATAACTGCTTCTTTCTGGCTGGCGTGATCCATGGCTGAGCTACACCGAGCCGTACTGTGGAATGTTCCTGGTAATGCTGATGCTGCGCGGCGGAACCAACTCGCCCCTGCTTTGCTTTGCCGTGCTGCGATGCGCGGCCTCCTGAACGCCGTCTGCGTCTCTATGTATGTTTCTTTGTTTTAGTAACTATAAATACCTGTTTTGGCAAGTATACTACCAGGATTCCTAATAATAATGGCAGAGCAGTAGACACATGGAGTTGTGTGTATTGGGTGGAGTGGTGGTCGGATGTTTTGCTCTCCCTCCCCCTCGCCCTCCCCCTCGGGGTGGGGGTAGAGATGGTCCCTTAGCAGGAGCAGACCTGGGCTGCCTGCCCCGGAGCTCTGCGCACGATGACCTCTGCGATGAGGCAAGACCAGGAGGAGGAGGGGGAGGTAGGAGGGGTAGGAAGGTGGGAGGATTGATGAACCCCTGCATGCATACATACATACATGCATATGGGCGGTGGCTCCCAAGCGGATGTTGGGGCCCCTGATCCGAATGCGGAATCCGAATCCGGACGCGTTTGGGACAGTAGTTGAGCCATGTCCAGGCTGGAGTTTGCGGAGGGCCTAGGACGATTTAAACATGTTGAGGGGCGAGTAGGGTTGCTTCGCAAGAGACGAGGCGCACTTCGAGGCGTTGTGGGGGAGGAGGAGGACGAGGGGGGGAAATCTGTGTGGATGGGGCCACTTCTCCGCGCGTGGGAGTGAGGATGGAGACGGCTACGGCAGTGCGGAGGTTTGGCAGCAAAGGCGGCCATGGGCTATCTCCCTCAGGCCGTTGGTAGCCTTGAATGGTTTTGGCGGGAAAGCGGGTCAGAAGAGGTGGTAGAGAGGAGAGCTTTGTGCGCAATGCATGGCGGGGCCAGAGCCCCGCGACGTTTTTACTTCCTTGCCGCTGAATGGCGCAGGAACGCGCGCTTTGTCCTAGATTTATTTTCATGATCATGGCCGGCATCATTTCTTTTGGGGCATCGTATGCGGGTGCTTGGGCTCTTCGCGATTCATTCTCTGATGTCGTCTCATGCCTGCCGTACGTTTACGACATGCTTGACTAAGCGTGCGCATCAGTTGTTTTGTTCAACTAACGGGCAATTGTGAAATTCGTGTTATGTCTCGCTTCGCCAGACTGCCAGTGGGGCTTACACAGCATTTTACTAACAAGGAAATCGGACGGGGGATCTTGTGTAACGCCAAGACCAAGCAGAGCCTCACCTTCCGAACTTCATCCCGCTCGGTGCTTATAACTTGCCTGAGTTCACCGTTGTATCTGAGTACCAACCAGTATTTGCGTGGGGATGAATCCTACCGGACCACTTCCTGTGGGTGTGGCAGACCTGGCAGCGACATGTGCGGGGCAGGCCGTGGATCGTCTCGCCGCGCGGCTCTTCTATCCCTGCCAACGTTCATGGACGCTTCCTTGCACATGGATTCCTCACATCAACTATGCCAGGTCAGCGGCAGCAGCGCTGCTCAGTCGACGGCCCGTGCAAGAATTGCATTTTGTCACTGGATTTGTCACTGGATCACCGGTTCCGCTCATTTAAGTGTTTCTCATTTGCGTGCAGGGGCTACATTGGTGCGTTTTCCGCGGGTCGTTTGTTTGCCGTGCTTGGAAAAGCGACGAAATGCCAAACTTTCTGCAAGGGGTTGCTAAGCTTGTGCGCAATCAGCTCTTTTGCCCAACTTTTGGTTTAATTACAAATGGCCACCCTTGAAAATAGCTCGGGCTCGCCTTGCTAGCCTAACAATCTCGCTACGAATGACACTCATCGAACAGGGTACGTGTTCAAGATGGTCGCGAAAAAAACATGGAAAACTGAATTGTCAAGATCCGCCTTGGTTGCCGCCGCTTGGGCACTGGGTAAGAGGTTTGGGCCGAGCGTGCCCCGTGGGCCCCGTGGTTCCCGGATCTCAATAGTGCCGGCCTCGGTCCGCGTACCAACCTGATCCACATACAAGCAGATTACATCCACACAACCAAGTCCTAATGTCTTTTCGGGACCGCTGTTCACAATCCGAGGCGCACCATCCTCTCGGTACCCTGCAGGCGGCAGCCGTGTGCTTCCCGTGTACTACAACGCCCCCGCAGCAAACCCGGCAGCCGCCCCCGGCCTCCTGCCCGTTGTGGTGTTTTCTCATGGGTGAGTACCGGTGGGTCGGCAGCTACCGCAACCTCATGTAGCTGCAGCACAATGATGGTCATCCGGGCAGTGTGGTGCCGCTTACCATTCTGCCCCAGCCCCCGTCAGGCGGGGACACGCGGCTCCACTTTCCTTCGCATCCACCTCCCAGCGCTTGTCTCCCACCTACCACTGCACTGCAACAACCGGGAGGGGACCAGCCACCCCGCAGGCGCCCGTGGGAGGGGAGGGGAGGGGTGTATCACCATGTATCAGACATGTCCCTGATGCGGGCCGGGTCTACGTGGCCCGTCTTCCATCTCCTCAGGCACCCAACTTCATCAGCTTCATCACCCCGCCAACATCCGCCGCTCCTTCCAGCGCCCTAACCTCGCCGGGGGGTTATTCGTCGCCCCCCCCTTGCCCGCCCCTCCCCCCCGCCCCCTGTCCTGTGGCGTTGCCAGGCTCGCGGGCACCCGTAACGCCTACAGCAGCATCTGCATCGAACTGGCGTCTCAGGTGGCTGGGCCTCCGCCCTGTGGCGCTGTATGTATGTACCGCTGTATGTACCGCTGTGATGCTGTGAGGTGGTGGGAAGGAAGGAGGCCGTATGAAGGGAAGCTGCGGCCTGAACGACAGGCTCAAGCTGGAGTTGGACGGATGTCCACCATGACTTAGTAATTTAGTGTTCTTCCCCCCCCCACAACCATGGTCCCCTCTACCCCCCCTCCCAACCCCGCCAAACCCTAAACCCCAGGCATCCCCCTCCCCCCGTCCAGGGCTATGTGGTGGTGGCTCTGGAACACAGCGACGGCAGCGCCAGCTGCGCCCGACTGCCCAGAGGGGCGGACCCGCCCGCCCCCAACCGCACACCCGCTACCTCCACCGCTATTACTGCAGAACCCACTAACCCTGGGGATGCAGCAGCAGCAGCAGCAGCGGCAGTCAATGCCCGGGAAGCGGGAGGTGCTGCGGCACCGCGCCCGTCCCCCGCGGCGGCGGCTAATGCTGCTGCTGCTGTTGGAGGTGTCTCTCAGTGCGTGGAGGCGGGTGGGGGCAGCGAGTGGTGCTTTTACGGCGGCCTGGGTGATAAACCTGAGCAGCTGCGGAAGACCCGTCACCGCGTGGCTGAGGTGGCGGGGGTGTACGAGCTGATGGAGCGGTTGCACCGCGGTGTGTGTGTGTGGGGTGGTGGTGGTAGTGGTGGGGTAGGGGGTAGGGGGTGAATGGGGATGAATCAGTAGGGCAACAGAGGACTTATCCCGCGGGGGGAGGAAGAGGGCTGCGTCACCTTCTCCCCCTCCCGCAGCCCCCCCTACAGCTCCTGACGGGTCGATTGCAGCGCTGGGTCGTTCGAGTTTCGGGTGGCTCTGGCCGAGCAGTTGGCAGGGAGGGTCAGCCACCCCGGATGTGTCAAACCCCGCAAACACACGCCCGCAAAGGAAGGTTGCCTTCCAAGAATTCCAGGTGTGTGTCGTGCTGTGTGACGGCGCCTGAGCACCGGAGCCCCGCACCCGACGTAGGTACGATATTCGACGTCGGTGCGGAAGGCGACGTTTCCGCCTCCGCTGTCGTACGAGAACTGCCGCCTGCGGTAGCGGACAGCCTCCGGGGCAGGTTGGATCTCCGGCGGGTGGCGGTGGCGGGGCACAGCTACGGCGGCGCCACGGCAGCAGCGGCGGCGGCTTCGCTGCCGTACTTCAAGGCGGCGGTGAGCCTGGACCCTTGGTGGTAGGCGAGGGCCGACGGGGGCTCGGAAGGGAGGGAGGCAAAGGGGGGGGAGGGAGAGCATTGTTTTTAACCTTTGGTCATCGGTCACCACTCGGCGCTCAGGCGGGAGCCACTGGAGCCACCCCACGTGCCAAATCTCTGTCCGGACGACGACTCCTTTTCAGGCGGCCCCACCCTCCCGCCTGTCTTTCCTTTACCCCCTTCCGGCCCCCCCCGTCCCCATCCCGACCGTCAGGGACTGCTTTGACGACTCCTGGCCCGTACTTAGCCGCTGGAGGTGTCCCCCGGGGGCCCCGCTGCTGGTCATTGGGAGTGAGGACTGGAACACACCCAACGCGCAAGGTGGGCCGAATCCCTCCCTCCCCAACCCCCCGAGGGGGGGAGGGGGCCCCGCCGGTGGAGGAGGGAGCTGTTGTTGTGCGGGGGGGGTGCGGGTCACCCGGTCGCCACCATGTGTATGTGCGTGTGGTTGCGCGTGTCCGTGTGCCCGACAGCAGGGTGACTGCGGAGTTGGATGTAGCTCTGAGCTCTGACGGGTTGCCAACCACACCCCCAGTAGCAGTAGCAGCAGCAGTAGCAGTAGCCGTGACGGGTTAAGGGGGTGATGGGGGTGATGCCGCAGCACGCAGCAGTACTTACAAAGCACCAGGGGTCCTGGCACTGCATTCCCGGTCGGTGTATGTATGTATGTACGTATGCATGCATGTATGTATCGTCGGCTGGGTGGATACTTAGCAATACGACGAATTGTTAGGCTCGGCTCCGGAACCACTAAACCGCCCTTCCCTACGAGCTCTCTTCCGTCCGATATCAGTTAGTTGGGCCGTCATGAGATCCATTTGGCTCCAATCTGCGGGGACCCGCCTCCGCGTCCGCCTCTTCGCCCTCCGGAGGACTTGGCCTCAGTTCCTCACAAACTTGCGCGACCCTTTTCAGCTCTGCCTGTTTGCTGCCCTCCCCCTCCCCCTCCCCTTCCTCCCTCTCCTCCTTGTCCTCGTCTGTCTGTCGGTTGTTCGGTTGGTGGCCTGTGGTTGTCCGCAGGCAAGCTCAAATGCGGGGGGGAGAATCAAGAGCGCGTGCTGTCTGCGGCGGCAGCGGGGGGCGGGGGGGCGCTGCTGGTGGTACCCCGCGGCAGCACACACGGCAACTTCGATGACGTCCTGTTGGTGTTCGGGAAGTCGCTGTCGGCCCTGTTGCGACTGCTCGGCATCCGATCCAGTTTGGAGCCGCGGAGGGTGGGTGGTCGTTGGGGTGGTCGTTGGGGTGGTTGGAGTGCCAGTTGAGCGTGTTACCGAGTGTGTGTGTGTATGTATGTATGGGTGGGTGGGTGCGCTCTCGTGCGGGGGGAAGGGAAGGAGTTATGCACGTATTGCCTTGGGTTTTGGGGTTTGGGGGTTTTCGTGTCCGTACATGTGGCGAAACACACACCTTTGTGTGTTTCGCATTCTCTCCTCTTCCCCCCAAAAACACATCTCCCGCACGAGCCCCCAACTCCCGCACACACGTGTGTCACTTCCCCGCCCTCCCCCCTCCCCCTCCCCCCCCCTCCCCCCTTCCCCTCCCCCCTCCGCAGGCTCATCACATCAACATGTGGTGCATCACCCATTTCCTCTCTAAACACATGCCAGCACTACCACCGCCACAAGAGCAGCTTACTACCAACAACACGAACACCAACACTGATAGCAACAACCGCAAGGAAGGCGCAGTAGAGGACGGCGAGGGGCAGCCACCAAAAGGGGAGGACTCATCAGCGCCGCTCCCACCGCTGAGGGGGGGGACCTCCCAGGAGGGCCATCAACTGTCAACGCCCGTACAGGAGGACGACCTGGAGCCGTACAAGCGGCACGTGGGGGAGTGGGCGGCAATACTGCGGGTGGTGGCGGGGCGAGCCGCAGCGGGGGTCCCTCCGTGAGGGATGATGGCGCGGGGGCACGGGGGGTGATGACGATGAACACACAGCTGCGCGGGCTTGTTGCCGGTGAAGACGTACCGCTTGTTGTGCCGACAACGTCAAGGTGGTGGGTATGACGGCTGCGAAGTAGAGAGGTGGCAGTGTTGTCCGCCGCTGGGTTGAGTTCCGTGTGGACGAGAAGTGGCAAGCTTTGTGTGTGTGTGTGTGTGAGCTATGTGTGTGTGTATTATGGGGGTGGCGAGGTGATGCAGAAGAGGTCTTGTGGTACTTTTTGCTCTCTTTGCTCTCTGTGCCCTGTGCTGTGGTAAGGTTTTCTCTCGCCGTAGCAAGGTTTTCTCTTCACCCCCCCCTGGCGTGAGCTTCACCTCGGTTATCCCACCTCGGCTATTTTGTCCTGCACCGTCCTGTGTGGGGTTTATCCTTCAGCGATATCTCGGCGTGTTACCCCCCTTGGAGGTGCGTCACTCTCCCAAGGTGCACATGCACATGCACATGCAGGTGGTGTCTTGACCCTCACCATCACAGGCCACATAGATTGCTGCGCGGAGCTGCACATGAGTGATCAACGGTGATGGTGATCTGTCCGCGATTGAGAGACTGACCAAGCTATATAGGGGTGCCAGCCATTCTCACAGCTCTCATCCTCACAGTTCATCCCAACTTCAAGTGACCCTTCCGGAGCCTGTCAGGCGGCTGCCACCAGTCGAGCAGTCGAGACAACAGCGACATCAACATAACTACACCTTTCGCTCATTACTGCATACTCCACGGTATGCCAGTCGCTGGTGCCGTACAAATAGCTCGTACATGCGTGCGGGGTTTTCCAGCGGTCCAGCGGTCCAGCGGTTCCACTGCAACCCAGGCGGATTGCGGGGTGCCCCAACAGCTCCTGGGGGGCTATAGAGGCCTCGACCCCCGGGCGGAGTGTGAGAGCTGTCCGGCCATCACCTCGATATCCGAGATAGCATAGCACGGATTTCAAGTAATGGCCCCTCCCCTCTCCGCGCGCACACACAACCGCATGTTAACCTGCTGCCAAGCAGGAGAGCTCCACTTCCCCTTCTGAAGGGAAGATTGTCGTGATGCCGTAATTCCTTCCGTTAATTAATTCTGCGAAATGCATGCGCGTGCCGACATGCACATACATACATACACAGGGTCACCGCCACTACCCGCTGGATGCACATGTTGGGGCGCAGCGGTAATAAGGCTCTGTTGTACCTCCCGTATCGTCGTACTTTTCGCCCGTATTCGCATGACGCATGTACGCGAGCCGAATCATGACCGCATAAAGCTTATTGGTGTGTTTGCGCGTATGTCACCGCGCGCCACTCCCTCCAGGGTCGCAACGTCTCCTAAGCACACAGGCCTTCCTCAAACACCGCGTCCACAAACATCAGCTCTTCAGAAATGAGATGATATGAGATGTGGTAGTTCCCTCCCACATCCGCGCGAGCTGGCACCCCTCCCTCCGGCACCCCTCCCTCCGGCACCCCTCCCTCCGGCATCCCCCCCCCCCCGATATATGGCGAGGGACTTGTTCTTATCGCAACTCCGACATCAACCCAATGGATAAGGGCTCCGAACTCCTCCCCTTCGGGGGGGGCCCCGGCGGTTCCTCCTGCAGGCTTTCCTCCGCCATCACCGTCGCTCCTCCCTCGCCCCGAAAGCCGCATGCATGTCACCAACGACCGCTTTCTTTCCCCCACAACCCCCTAACAAACCAATGGCTGGACCTTAAGTTCCACCTGCTGTTGCACACAGGCGGATTAAGGAGCCCGTAACTGTCTTCACTCGTAACGAACCGCCCCTCCACCTGAATATTACACTCCGGGACATTGCGGGGATCCGCCTCAATCACATCGAAGGAGATCCGCGGAGGCAGATCTGGATCCGGATCTAGTCGTCATCTCCCCCCTCCGGCCCCTCCGGGCCCCTTCCGCCCCCAAGCTCCGGTCGTACAGCCGGCCGGCCCCCCAGAGCCGCCTCCCGGTAGTGCAGCAGCGCCACCTCCTTAGCCTTGCTCTCTATCATCACATCCACCTGAAGGGGGGTTGGGGGGTAGAGGCGCGGCAGGACACGGGGGGATCAGGAAGTGCGGCCGCATCTACAATGTGTGATGTCCTGCTGAATCACTCTTTTCAACGTCGTCATTACATACTCGCTCCCGTCAACCGCTCCCGACATTTCAAGGATTGTTCGTACCTCGTTCTCCATGCCGTACAAGTTGATGGGGCCGGACACGTAATCGCTGTGTGCGTGAGGGCGGCGCCCCTCTTGACTCTCACTCCAGTGTACGACAGGTCGTACACCTGGGGGCCATGTGCTGATCGCCAGACGGAACGCCTCCTCCTCGCTGAGGCCGCCTGGGTGGTTGGTTGGTTGAGTCGGTTGGGTGGTTGGGTGCGTGTGTCATTGTGGGCGCTGGGCCAATGTCGAAGAGATGCGTGTACGGATGATTACGTGGTTGGAGTGGGTTGGGTTTGGGGAGGAGTCCACTTATGTGCGTTTATTTGTCTATGTGCGTATGTATGTACGTATGTATGTGAGACAACGAAGTACGTGTTGTTGGAAACCAGGTGCAAGTTGGTTGGTGGGATGCAGTACAGCGACGCGTCGATGCAAATCGTATGTCCGCTACAGAGGCTATACGGGCTGTGCGGGGACCGCCACACAGGAGGGTCGCTACTGCTCGGTGAACCCAAGAGGCTAAGAGAGCGCTGCGTGGCCCCCCCCTCCCGCGCCCGCCTGTGCAGAAGCGGTGATGGTGGAAATCGAAGACGATGGGGATGTGGGCCTTATTCGCGAGGTACATCAGATCCCGTACAGAGTACATGGACGGCCGGTCGTCGTTCTCAACCGTCAACCGAGACCGACAGTTGGGACTCAGCCGCTCCAGAACCACCTGCACAGCACATACGACAAAGTGCGGCATATGCAATTATCGCTGGCGGGAGAGCTCGGGGCGGGAATAACCGTCCCGCACATCAGCCATCTCAACGGCACCTTTGCAAACCTGTCCATGGATGCGATCTTGTCGCCGTACACTCCGCCAACGTGGATGTTGATCTTGTTGAAGGGAGTAGCGGGGAGGAAACCCCTGAAGGGGGGGGGGGTACGGCGGACACCAATACACACACACTTTTAAACATACATACGTACTCCACACTGCTGACGGCTACTCGTTTAGGCTGGTGTCTACTTCTGCTTGGTGGGTGGGTGTGACTCCTTCAACCTGCCATCTCGTGGCCCTAACCCTAAGTCAAGCACACGGACACGCAAACCCCCCACCCACCCCATCCCACCCCACCCCACCCCACCCCAACCCCCCAGCCCCCCACCCCTCCCCTCCCCCCACCCCACCCCACCCCCGCCCCCACATGGTATCCAGGATGAGGCTGTGCACCTCAAGCTCCTTGACGCTGGTCTCGACCACCTCAGGCCTGGGAAGGGGACATCGGGGGTTGGGTGGGGTGGGGGGTGGGGTTGGGGGGAAGTAAAGAACATAATCACGGCTGCCAGCCAGCGCAGTAATGTCTAATAATAATATATGAAAGGGAGTCCTGATTCCTTACGTGTTGCGGGCCCTAAAACCCCGCGGATACACGCCCCAACAGCCCACTCCTCCCCCCCCTCACCCTTACGGAGCTAAATGGAAGGAATGCCATTACTCGGTAATCAATATCTCCATGCCGTGCCTTTACACACACACACATACACACACACTCCTCCTCCCTCACCCCTCCACTCTCACTTGTCACTGGCAATCTTGGTGAACTCGGAGGGGTGGAAGGTGAGGCGGTGGCCGTAACGCCGGGCGGCAGCCCCCGCGTCTGCGAGTGCCTGCCGGGGGTCAGGGGTTCTGTGTGTGTATGTATGTATGTGTATGTGTACCGGGCGGTAGGGGGTTAGGGGGTTGACAGGTTTTGATGGGTGTGGTGAGGTGTGGGGTGGGGAGCGGAAGTACGGTGCTGGGCCCGGCGGAGGTCGGGGAGGGGGCGGGAGAGGAAGGGGAGGCGGGGGGCCGGACGAGCAGTGCGACGGAAGAGTGGCTGTGCACGATCAGGTGAGCGGGGAGAGCAGGGGGATATGAGGGATAGCGGGCAGGCAGGTGGAGTTGTACGGCTCGTGTGGCCTTGCGGGCCATCGGCTCCGCAATGTGGAGCCTGTGTACGGATGCCCCATAAGCGGTTGGGGTTACGGTTATAATTGTGTTTTGCAGATTGGCAGTTGGCAAGGCTGTTAGGATGGCGGTTGTTGAGCGGTTGTGGCACCGGTTAGTGGTTGACGACTTGCATTGGCGGTTATAAAGTCGGGGGGTTGATAGTTCCCACCAACACATTCCCACCACTTGCCACCACATTTCAAAACGAACCACTCCCACAAAGCCGCAGGACCCGCCCAAAGCCCCTCAGGACGCACACACACATGCATACACACAAAAGCACACATCGGTGCCCCCGGAGATCCCGGGATCGAGACCTGTCAGGGTCGAAAATCCTTCCGATGGTTGAAGGTAAAAGTGTCCCTAGTCGATAGACGGTGGTGACCTGGGATAAAGTAGGAATGGAGTTGAGCCGCCGTCGATCCGGCAGATTCCATTGGATGCTGGTGGTGAGTGCGGAACCTGAGCGATGCACTGAGAAGTCGGCTAGGGTGACTGGATGAGGGTGCCCCGAAATACCGGGGAAGGCAGGGTTTCGCAGGGTAGCGGCCGCAGGGTGGAGATATGACCCCCTGTCCCACACATCATAAATACATACATACATACATACATACATACATACATACATACATACATACATACATACATACATACATACATACCTGCATGCACACTCTCTCTCCGCCTTCAGGACTCCATGCTCTCCCCCACCCCCCCTCGCCAGTCACCTGTTTGATCTCCGCCGCGTCAGGCAGCTGCTCCAGACGGTAGAAGCTCATCCAGGGCAGGATGCCTGGCGGGGGGGGAGGGTGTGGGGGGAGTGGGGGGAGTGCGGGGGGGGGGTGAGGGAGAGGGAGGGGACATGCATCCATCTGCCCCCCCAGGTAACCTCCGTCCGAGGTGCCACATGGCCGAGGGGGGGCGGTTGAGCGATAACTGGGTGGGGGTACTGCGAGGGGGAACACCCCCTCCTGCACCCCCTGCGAACCCTTAACACATCACATACATACATACATACATACACACACCTTTTCCACCCATCCATCCACCCATCACCCCTAAACGCTCATCTGGGACCGAAACAATACTGGTATTAGGTTTTAACAGATTCAGTATAGGATATAGTCAAGTGTCGCCTTAACGTAGAAGTGATGTGGCATATATCAAGCCCATTACCCCCCCAACACACACAAACACACGCACACAACCCGCGCCATGCCTTGGTACAACGCAACCATCGCCACAACATTCTCTTCGTAAAGAGCGCCCTAGGCATACCGACATACCGACATACCGCTCTCACCCGACGACAGTCTGAACAGCCGTATTCCGTGCGCCTCGTTCCACTCGATCAGCGGTCGCAGGTCCCGGCAGTTGGCGAGCGCGAGTTGGCTCACGTGGGGCAACCCCCGGGACTGGAAACCCGCACGGTTGGTGTCCCTGAGGGGGCGGGGAAGGGGGGGGAGTGCGGGGAGGGGGGACGGGTGAGATGAATGGGTAGTACAGAAAACCAAAGACGGAGTGCCCTTCCGAGGTGCTGTGAGTGCTGGGGTGCGGCAGTAAGACGATATGGGGGCGTGTGTAGATGGCGGCGTTAGCGTTACGGTGCGTTACGGTGCGTCCAACACCCCTTGCCACCCTCCACTGCGAGAGACACGAGAGTTGTCGAGTAGTCGTACACCCCTTACCTGCTGGCGAAAATGTCGTACTCTCGCAGTGTCATGCAAAGGCAGGCGTATCCCAAGTTGGGTACGACAGCGGGCACCGGGTGTACGACAGCGGGCTGTGGTGGAGCCGTCGCCGCCGCCGCCTCGTCTTCCCTTTCCGCTCCGTGCTCCTGAGCCCCCCCGGCCGCCGCTTTAGCCCGAGTACGGCTTCGACACCGGCCTCCGCGACCTTGACGGCCGCCGCCGCCGCCTTCACGACGCGTGCGGCCGGAGCGCGGCCCCGCCGCTGCTCCGCCGCCGTCGCGCTCCGTGCCCTCGCTGCTGCTACCGCCATCACCGCCGCCGCCGCCGCTGCTCCCGTTACTGTCGCAGTTACCGCCGCTGCCGTCGCCTCCGACAGCGATGCTCATACCTTGCGCAGCGGCCGCTGGCGCCACCGCCGAGTCTTCCGCCGCCGCCAGCGCATTCCCACGCACACCCGCCGCCGCCGCTGCCGCCGCCGCCAGGTGGGCATTCCCCTCCTCCGCTGTCGCCAGTGCCGCCAGCGAGAGCGCCACCGCTCCGGGACCGTACGACCGGGAGTGCGGGTACACCCCGTGCAACGTGACATGGCTCGCAAACCTCCCCTGGTTGGCGGCCTCCCTGACCTCCTGCTGCACCACCGCCTTGGTGCGCCGCGGCGGCTTGGCCCCCGCGGGTTCCACCTTCTTCTTGCCCTTGCCCCGCCTTTTCACCTTGGCCTCGCCGTCCACCTCCTCCATCTCCCCCGCTTCCTCAGTCTCCGTGTCCGCTTCACCCGCTTCACGTCCCGCCGCCATGTCCGCGGGTTCAACCGCCGCCGCTTGCGGGTCCTTCTCGCCATCGCCATCGCCATCGCCAGCCGCCACGTGCTTGTCGGCATTGCCGTCTGTATCGTTAGAGGCCGCTGCAACCGCACCGTCGTCGTCGTCGCCGCCGCTGCTGCTACTGGCTCCGCGCACACCAGCAGTGGTGGCGGCGGCGGCGTCACCGCCGCCGCCAGCCGGCAGCCGTTTCCGGCGTTTTGACGGCGGCTTCGGCTCGGAGGCGGCGCCGCCGCCGACGTTTGCGGACGGAGCGCCAGCCGGGGCGCGAGGGGTCCGTTTCGCATTGTTGCTGGACTTGGGTGGCGGAGGTGGCGGAGGTGGCATCGCGGAAGGTACGTTTGAAGGCGCGGCGGCAGCAACAGCGGCAGCGGCGACGTCGGCAGCGCGCTTACGTAGGCGCGCAGATGTACGGCGGGCAGGTTCTTGCGTCTCAGCGCCAATGTTGGACTGGGACTCCGGGGCGCTGCTGCCGCTGCTGCCGCCGCCGCCGCCGCCGTCGTCTTCGCTGCTGCTGTCGGTTTTGGACCTCCGGCTCTTGGCACCGCTTTGCCGATGCGGGCCCTCCACCGCCGCCGCCGTTTCCGCTCCCGTTCCCGCCTCCACGTCCGCCGCGGCCGTAACGTCCGTGGCGGACCGCGGGGTTGCGGCCGCCGTCGCCGCTGCGCCCGGCGTCGCCGGCGTCGCGGGCAGTGGTGAGGCCAGCTGTGGGGGGGGTCGTTGTGGATGTAGCAGTAGCTGCTGTTGCTGCTGTGGTGGCGGCGACCCAGGAATGCTCTCCGTGACTGATGTAGCAACGGTACCAGTGAAGGAGGGAGGCGATGGCTTCAGGGTGGAGGAAGACCCACGGGTCGCTCGGCGTCGCTGCGGCGGGGCCGGCGGCAGCGGTGGCAACGCCGGTGTCATGGCGGTGTTGTCGCTGGTGTCGGCGGTACCGTCCATTATTGCTGTGGGCGGTCGGTTGGCTCTTGTTTGGGACGCAATTAAGAAGGCGCTTGTCGGTGGTGATGCTGCTTTCGTACTGGTTGTTAAAGACGGCGCCGGTTCTTGCCAGCCTGGTAATGACCTGAGGCTAATTGCCTTTCTTATTCCTATTGCTTCATAGCTTACTGCCAAAATTGGTTTTGTATTGCGGCTGGTGCGAATAACTACCTGGCGAATTGCTGCGGTGGAGCTGAGCGCGATGATTCCGGAGCTGTGCGTAGCAACTGTGGCAACGTGGAAAGAGGGTGATGCAGTCAGGAGGCAGAAGGTCGATCTCTTTAACCGCGGGTCGTCAACGACTCGAGCGCCTTCCAGAGCTCTGTTACAGTTTGAGAAAAACGGCATGCAAGCCCCAACTCCGGATATTCTTGATCTTGTTCTTGGCCAAAGTGCTCGGGTCAAAGCTTGGCGCCTCAGGGAGCTGCAAAAGAGCATTACCTGCTGCCAGATTGATTAGGTCGGTTTTCTGCTTGCTCTCTACTTGCAGCTCTCGCATCACAAGGCTCAGATCAAACTCCAAATTTCAGCTTCAAGTTTCACGCCCTGGTTACCCTAGCCTCACATATACCGCTGTATTTTCGCACAGCAGTACCGGCCACGTCAGAGGACAGACACAGCGCCACGTCGCGAAACGTGGCCGCAGGCACCTGCCGCAGATCCTGCTACCGGTCCGTTCAGTTTTGGATGCTCGGGCGAGGCAAACATTGATACATATGTAAACCTGAGCCGATGTGCAGAGTATGCACGCAGGCAACCTTGTGGACGGATAACCCACATAGCCCATGAGGCGCAGAGCACTGCGGAGCAGGCCCGCACCAACAAGAGTACCGGGCACTGCTTGACCCTCTCGCTCAGGAACATCACAAACCTCGCGCGTCGCGCCCCGACATTCCTTGAAGACCTGTCTGTTGAAAACTGTTCGGAGGGCAGTCAAATAGAGGCAGTCAAATTCGCAGAGAGGGCCCCTCCCCGGGTGTTTCAGCTTTTGCCTTCACGGTCACGCTGAAGGGGACGACGATGATCAACTGGGTTACACGAAACTGGCGAGTAGTACCCAATCCCAATTGCCATTTCAACACCTAGACTTTGGAAACAATTATAAATCACCTGAAACAATTAAACAAATCGCGGCCTCTGCTGCTTCACGCGGATCCTCAGAGTCCGAGTAGCCACTACACAAAGTGGTGGTGGTTGGCAATCGATGCCACATCTAAGCCACGTAATGCAACTGCTAAACGCCAGAAGAGGAGAATGGCGGCCCTCTTCCGTGTGTACACATACACACGGAATGTGTGTACACATACATGTGTATCTGTGTATCTGTATATGTGTGTGTATGTGTGTGCATGTGTGTGTATGTGTGTGTATGTGTGTGAGATACTGGCGTAGAGACGCCGAGAAAATCGGAATTTTCAAACTCAACTTAGGCTTACAATGTCAATACATTGGTCCGCTTGGTTAGTCCAGCTAGCGATCAACAGCACCACATGCGGTACGTCCGAGTCAGTCCTAGCTCCGCCAGCTCCGAAGTTACAACAACACCTAACACGAGTCCCGAAAGTTCGTCGACTAACTTCCAAACACTGCAGTCTGTTGGACCGCAGAAAAGTCCTGAGTGGACCTGACACACAACCACTCGACCAACCAGCAAGTAAACCACCTAACCACCCAAGCAACCACTCAGCCAACGGGTACGCAACCGCCCTATGGAAGCTGCGACCCCCCCTCCAGAGCTGCATACCAACAACAAGCTCAACACGACCGAGCTGCAACCTGCAAAAGTAGAATGCACCACCATTAGAACCACCACCAGCAAATTCACACCAAGACCAAAAGGCGAATCCGCAGCTGATGGCGTTGAGCGAAAAAAGAATGGTTACGGAGCATTTTCGGCCCCGGCGTGCCAGCACTGCGAGTCAATTTGACTGCACAACTACACATGACGACAAAAGAAAGAGAGAGAGAGAGAGAGAGAGAGAGAGCAGCAGTGGCGGCTTTTGAGCCGTCCACTGGAACCAGGCTGTGGCCCTACCTACATTTCGACATCCCGGTGCTAAACGCCTCCGCCTCGTCCTGTCTCGCCTATGGTACGATATCCCCGACAAAAGCAGAAGCAAGGTAATAAGGTTACCATAATTGTCATCACCATTATCATCACCATCATCATCTCGCTCTCCTTGTCGTTCATGTTGCTGTTCCTGATGCCCCCCCTGCTATTACAATTCTTGCGGCCCTGCAGATGCCTCCGTGCATCCTATCCACCCGTGCACCCTCGCGCTTCACCCCGCGCCACTCACAGGAGCGTGCTGTGGGAGCTCTGTGTTGACCTACTTCCTAACCACCTACCTGCCCACCGCTTTCTGGGCTCCAGATCTACACCCGATCACCCCCCCCGCCCCACCCCCCCTAAGCGCCCACACGGCCACTCGCCCGAAGAATCACCTGCACCTCTCAGCACTACTAGCAGCGGTTAGCCAGGCAGGTAGCTACGCGCATAAGCCCCACTTACCCTATCCCTCTAGCTCACCGCATCCGTACTCACTTGCCGTACACACCCCACGAAGTGCCCCGCCATGTGCTCTCAACTCCCTCCGCACAATAAGCACCCAATCCCCCACACAGAGACACACACACAGACAGACACACACACAGACAGACACACGCACGCACGCGACCAAGCCACGCGCCTTAATAGTCACATCGCATCGTCTTCCGAGTACTGCAGGGTTCCTACTGCGATTCATATACACAGTATAGTAGTCAACATTTTTTCCGGCAGCGGGGATACGCCCCCCCCCCCGGTTCTCCCGCCTCCACAGGTGTCACAGCCGCGCGCCCTACATAACCCCCTACCTTAGTACGGCAGTACGGCAGATAACATCCAGGTGACCCTGAGGCAAGCCTCAAACCCCTTGCAGCCGCAGCCACCACGCTGCGCGATAGAGGGCCGTTGTGTACTGCACACGTGACACCACACGTCGTACATCAGACGGCGTCGTTATCCGCGACAATGACCGCCGCCGTCTCCGCCGTCACCCTCGCCTTCTCCATACGCGGCGCCCGTCCCGCCTCCGCCGCCGCCCACTCCTCCACGGCGCGTCGCGTGGCCGCCGCCGCCGCCTCATCCACCGCCACTACATCCAGCACGCGCAGGTGCGGCATGCAGGCCGCCATGCGAAGCTGCGAGCCTATGCTTCCTCCCCTTCCCACCGCCCCGCCACCTCCGCCACCATTTCCGCTGTTTCCTGCCCACATCTTCGAAAGGTCCAGCCCCGCGAAGCCCCTCAGCTTCAGCACCTCTAACCGCGGGGGGGTCCAGGCAGCCAGGCGAAACACGGGACCCACATGTACCTCACTACCCAGCACCAGCGACTTCACACGACCCAGTTGCTCCAGGGTAAGTTCATGAAGCGGTACGGGGGGGGCGCCTGGCCACCGGCGACTGCCACCGCCGGCGGGGCCTGCCGAGGCGGCGGCGACGGCGGCGGCATCACCACCGGCGCCGTTCTCCGCGCCGGCGTTGCCGCCGCCTGCGGCATCGGCAGTCGCCGTTGCTGGGGCGTTGGCCGCAGGGTTGTTGTTGTTGTCGTGAGAGGCATCCGTGTTTGTGGTGGTGGGTTGTTGCTCTCCAGCACCACCGCCATTGCCGTTGTCGCTGCTGCTGTCGTCCGCCCCGATGTCCAGCACCCAGGCGGCCAAAGTGGGCATAGCACCAGCCGCACCAGCCGCCGGTCCGTCGGGTGCGGCGGCCGCGAGGAGCTGCTCCACGGTGGCCTCATGCACGCTGAGGGGGAACCACTGAGGGGGGCCTGCAGGGGGGGCGGCCGCCAGGGGCACCACACCGGTACCGGCCCCTTCAGCGGCCTCCGGGCCGCCGAGCACCCGGACATCCCCCTCCTCCTCCTCCTCCTCCCCCCCGTTCGCTTCCGCCTCCTTCTCCTCCTTCTCCTCCTTCTCCTCCTTCTCCTCCTTCTCCTCCTTCTCA